CTGTGCCCAATAAAAGAAGTGTTATTAAGGCTTAGCCTGGCCACACAATGAGACTATCTAAGCTCTGTCAGCTCCCAGTATGTAGGAAGAAGGGAGCTTGCATTTCTGGTTCATCCCAACCACCATGTCAAATCTGGGAATGACACTGTCTGTCAGCTAATGTTTAAAGCGAGCCTCTCAAACAATGACATTTAATATTTGCTCCCAAGTCAGAGGGATGACAAGTTTGGTCAGAGGCAAGGAGTGTGGTTAACTATCTCTGGCAGATTTGAAATGCAATTACCATCCTAGAAAATACTCATTTCACCCAAGCTGCATACCCTGAAATTAAGACAACTCTTCAGCCTTTGTTTCCTAACCCTTAACAACTTTCTGTATTTACTGAGATTTCATTTTGTTCTTCCCCTGCTCAGCAACTGACCCAATCTTGAGATGCTGCCAGTGTTGTTTACATGAATTTAGATGCACATTTTGTTTTCCCATTGAAGTCCTGGAAGCCCCCTTTGCATCTCCTTTCCTACTAGGAGGACCAAAGCCTCCTAGGGGTAGAGCACCTGCTCTGCATGAAGGGATGGGAACATCCCCTGTCTGAAACCCAGGGAAGCTACAGTCATTCAGTGTGGACAATACTGAGCTAAATGGACCAATGGTCTATTCTTTTCAAGTGTTCCTCATCTATAAAGCAAAGGTGAGGTTATTTTTTCTCCACAGTCAATTGTTCCAGCCATTTCCCCCTATTCTTGGCTGATGTTGTTTTTGTAGCTGGAAATGGAGAAAAGTGGCTAGTGCAAGATTGTGAGGAGGTTAAGGTGTGGGAGGAGGAAGCACTTAGCACTTCTTTTATTTTTAAAGCAAAACCCTGATTTATATGTAAATAAGGCAGAGACCTTATGGTGGCCTCATAGGTCTGGAATAGTGGCTCCAAAACCCTATGAATGAGAATGCTTGAGCTCATGCATACTTTCTTAGGAGCAAGGTCCACTATGTTCAATTGAGCTTACTCCCAAATAAGATTGACTAGGATTGCAGGCTTAATAGATTTTCCCATTCATTAAAAATTCTGTACACAAGGAGCAGCAGCCCTCAAAGAAAGACATCCCAATCAATTTGCTGTTTGCAGCAAGTTATACCTTGCATCTGAGTCCTGTAACAATTGCGGTAATTGAGCTGCAGGGGCTTATAATGGGCTTTATGGCTTTTTATAGGTGTTTAATGAGGCTTTATTTTTATTTTTTTGCAGGGCAAGCATGTTTAAGGCCCTTAATGGATTTAATAATGGTTGTAAGTTGAATTAGAATTTGCAGTAGTGAATGCAGTTGTTGAAACAATGGGTATTTCCCCTACAATCTGCTTCATGGGACAATTAATGGGATGTAAAGGTTTAAGGCCTGGAACATGCTCTCAGCCTGTATTAACATGCTAGAGACAGGTGGTACAAACACTGAAAATTCTAGCGATGCCAGATGGAGTTTCCCCAGCTACTCTGGGCGGCTTCTAATCAAGTGTTAATGGTAGGCAAAATGTAGATCAAGAACTACTGATATATCTCTGGGTGATTTGCAGTACAGCAGCAAGGGTTTCTGACTCCCAGTTGTTTATGGATGACAACTAAAAAAGCCATATTTTCCCCAAAATGTAAAAAAGCCTGGGAGGAAAACCAGGAGCAGATTTTTGCATAAAGTTGCCAAGAGTTCAGTTCTGGAACTGAAAACAAATCCTTGATCTGAGCATGTGCTCAGAATTTCAGCTAATTGCAGTTGGTGAATTGAGGGGTTCTAGTAAAAAGCAAAGTACCGTATTTTTCGCTCTATAAGACGCACCAGACCACAAGCCGCACCTAGTTTTTGGAGGAGGAAAACAAGAAAAAAAAATATTCTGAATCCCAGGAGCCAGAACAGCAAGAGGGATCGCTCCACAGCGAAAGCAGCGGTCCCTCTTGCTGTTCTGGCTTCTTGGATAGCTGCACAGCCTGCATTCGCTCCATAAGACGCACACACATTTCCCCTTACTTTTTAGGAGGGAAAAAGTGAGTCTTATAGAGCAAAAAATACGGTATATTCCACAAGCCTGAGCTCTTTCCACTTCTGGGTTACACTGATGGGCAATGGCTATGCAAGGTTTCAGTTAGGGGTCTTTCTCAACCCTACCTGCAGATGCTGGGGAGTGAACCTGGAATCTACTCGGCACAGAGTGTGTGTGCTGTAGCAGTGAGCTATGGTCCCTGAGGCAAGTCCCTTAGCTTCAATGCAGGATTCGGACAACCAGTTGGAGCCCCATCAGAAGCTGTTAATGATTATGATTTGCCCCCTAACACTTTAGATTGGAACAGGAAGGCCTGCCACAGTCGAGGAGGGTTGTTCGATTTGATTTTGCCAGGAGAAATGCGTCTGAGGCAAAGGCAGTATCCTTGCTGGAATGCTTTGGCATTCTGATGCCTGAAGCACCTCAGCTATGCCCTACTTGGGGAATATCTTGGTTCTCAGCTAAATCGTTAGGTCTAATTATTTCTGAGCTTAATTGGGTATGACAAAAACAAGGCAGAGCCAAGACTTCAATGTATATCAAATAATGGTTTGCTGAAGGAATTCAGAGGAGTATGACGACCAAGGTGGTTCTGCCCTGCTGCAGACGTAAACTTGAGGTTTACCTCACTGCTGCAGGCCTGTTCAGACGAGAGTCGTGCACAAATTGCCAAATGAAAATCCTCCATACTGCTTGAGGGCACAGAAATGTTGGGGGCTATTTCACAAAATTCGCCCAGGAGGGGAAAAGAGAATGTATCCAAGGGAGGGGGACGAAGGGCAGCATATAAATTTTCTCTAAGAACATAAGAAGAGCTTGCTGGATCAGGCCAATGGCAAATCTAGTCCAGCATCCTGTTATCACAGTGGCCAACCAGGTGCCTGTGGGAAACCTGTGTGCAGGATCAGAGCGCAAGAGCCCTGGAAGCAGCCATCAATAGCCCTCTCCTCTCTGTGTGTATTACGTGTCAGCCTGCTTCAGCCTTGGAAAATTTATCTAGGGATAGAGAAGAAATTCTCCAACAGTTTCTCAGGGCTGCAGTCAATCATTTCTGGTGATACATATAGTGAATGTTTGGTGGGAGGGGTCAGGACTGGACCCACTCCCTTCCATTGCCTGCCACCCATTCACTGGAAAGGCTGAAAAGAGCCACATAGTGTGGGTTCTCAGTGCCTGGGGAGTACGAGTACGCAAGGGTGCAGAGGTGGCTGTGCCAGCCGAAGCCCTCACTGCCAACTGAGCTGGTCTGAGCCACAGTTGAGTGAGGTGAGGGAAGGAGAAAGAGGCTCGAAGCTGCCCTGTGATGAGGACAGAACTGAGAGCCGTGGTGCCCCATTCGCAGAGGTGGCTGCCTGTGCCTCTTGCCTCTGCAGGCAGTGCCAGCGGTGCCCCTTCACCGGCCACAAGGGGAAGAAGCCACCGCTGCTGCCCAGCCCTGAAGGCTCAGTCTGGGTGCAGCTCAGCAAGTGAGGGAGCCTGGTTGCGCCCCCTTACGCCCTTTCAAAAATCTGCACCCAGGGCCATGGGCCCCCTGGCCTTCCCCATGCTACGCCCCTTGCTGAAAACAGCTCACTTTTCAGGGGAAAAGGATTCAGATCTTCCTTCCATTCATTTGATATATCTCTGGAGGGAGGATACAGGACTCACACCCAACTCATATTCAGCCTGTCTCTTTGGATGTTGTTTCTCTTTTCTTAACACCTGACACAGCATACAGTCATTGTTTGTCCAACAGGATTCCCAGTCCCAGAGTTTTGTATTTGTCTTCCCTAAACTCTCCAAATTCTTCACTTAAGCATTGCCAATTCCACCGCCTCCTCCACCCTTTCAACTCAGCAAAAGCAAGTCAAATAAACAGCTAGATTTGGCGGGGGGTGGAAAGAGGACGGGAGCCTCAAGAGCCACCCTGGTTTGGAAAACACACTAAGCCTTCCGTAGGGCTTGTAGAAGTAAAGCAGGACTGTTTGTAATAGGTCCAGAATAAATGTTTTTGATAAGAAGAGAGATATCGCTAACAAGGGCGACATACTGATTCCCAGCCAGCCTCAGCAAGCCACGGAGAAGAGAAGAGAAGATATTCAGAGCTGCTTTTTCCAAGTTTGTGGGTAGATGCAAAGCTGTATTTTTCTCAGGGCTTAACTAGGTGTTGGCTTTCGATGACATGGAATGATCCTCATAAATATATGAAATAAACTTTAGGAGTGCAGTTATTTAGTCAACTGAGGCTCAAACCTTATGCACCAAGGATGGGGAACTTACTCCAGCCCAAGGGCCACATTTCCTTCCAAGCAACCTTCCAGGGGCCACATGCTAATGGGCAAGACCAGAGATAGGAGTGGGCAGAGACACAAATGTGAATTTTACTTTCGTACTGTAGGCTACTGTCTACACACACTGCCATACCCAGCTCTATTGTCCAGGGTAGAAAGAGGCATCAAAGACACATTCCAGCCAGTCAGAAAGAGGAGGGTTACCTTTTCCCTCTTTCTATACAAGACCCCAGACATGAATAATGAATGAATACAACTTGTATTTCATCACAAACCAATTCTTGGATATATTAGCTTATGAAAAGATGCCAATGGCTACATTTGCATGTAAAGCTAAGTGTGGTTTGTTTAATAAACCACAAGTCAGCTCACAGATGACGTAACAAGCCATAGTTTGTTTCTTCAAAGCTTGGTTTGTTTTCCAGCTGCTCTTGCCTCATGAGAGTGTCTGTGGTGGGGTGGCCAAACAAACCATGGTTAAGTAAGGATTTGGACATAATACCAAAACGTAGTTAAAACAAGCCATGGTTCATAAGCCAACAACAAAACCATGCCTATATATCACAACTTTATTTGCAGAAAATAAACCATGGCTACTCTGCTGGGTTGAGTTTGCACATCCAAACAAACCACAGTTATCCCAAATAAACCATGGATAAGCACACCAGGCCAGTATCAACTACTATGTATTCATCCAGGGGTACTTACGCCAAAGCCATGATTCCATAAGGCCAAGAACGAATCTCCAATCTCTTCCGGCTTTTCATTTCATCCAAGGTCAGCACCATCCCGCTATCTGACTCGCATTCCTAAAGAAGGGAAAAAACACAAAAGCTTTAGCTTCTTCTAACTGTACAGCTCCTTTCAAGCTCAAAATACAATCTCGAGGGAGGGTTGGATTCATAGCAAATGCAGCCTGGCAGTGGCAGAAAAAGCAGAAGGAAGTGAATCCAACACCAGCTGTTCAATTTTTGCTAACCCTTCCAAGCAGAGTTCCACCCCTCTAGAATTTTTGTAATGCAAACAGCTTTTCTTCCCTTAGTGATGACACCATCAGAACCATTAAGCACATGGTTAGGGAACCACCAAATATTGAGGCCAGGCTTCTCTAACCTGGTGCCCTTCAGATGTTTGGACTACAGTTCCCATCAGTCCCAGCCAGCAAAGCCGGGCAATGCAGAATTCCCATGATTAGGTTTTCCAGCTTGCTTGCTTTATTTTATTTTTAAACTAATTGGGAGATCTGCATAACTCCTCTGAAGATTGAAGTAGTAGGTAAGGTTTTTTTGGGTTTTGGATCGACTCTTTCAGGTCATTTCCCCAAAGTAAATCAACGCATCCCAAGCACCAGTTGGCACCACGAAGGGAAAAATACCAGTGTGTAAGGTGCCAAGCCCATCATATTCAAAGGAGCCATGTGGGGATGTTAATTGGTAAAAGAGAAAAAGAGAGAGAGAGAGATCCTGATCACAGGTGTCCTGTGTCACATTTCTAGTTTGGCCCTAAATGCTTTTGTCAAAAGTCAGTCCCTTGTCCAAGGAGCATAGGTAAAGGGTAAAGGGACCCATGACCATTAGGTCCAGTCGTGACCGACTCTGGGGTTGTGGCGCTCATCTTGCTTTACTGACCGAGGGTGTCAGCGTACAGCTTACGGGTCATATGGCCAGCATGACTAAGCTGCTTCTGGTGAACCAGAGCAACGCACGGAAACGCCGTTTACCTTCCCGCCGGAGTGGTACCTATTTATCTACTTGAACTTTGACGTGCTTTCGAACTGCTAGATTGGCAGGAGCAGGGACCGAGCAACAGGAGCTCACCCCATCACGGGGATTTGAACCGCCGACCTTCTGATCGGCATACTTAACCACAAAGCAAGCTGTTTTATACTGACTCAATACCATTGGCCTATATCATTCTGCCTTGTCTACATCAGACACAAGACTCTCCAGATGTGGAATCCAACTCCCATCATCCTTGACCACTGGAGAGGATGAGTGGGGCTGATGAGAGTTGTGGTTCATAACATCTAGAGGGCACCATGTTGGCTATCCCTAGTCTACACAGACCAATTGCACCTTTTCAGGATTTCTGGTTTTTTTTGGGGGGGGCATTACCAGCACTACTTAGAGATGCCAGAGATTGAACTTGGGGCATTCTGCGTACAAAGCATAGCCCTCTCCCCACATAGTCTTGTAGTTCATATAAGTGACTGTAATGAGTTCTGTGACACAACAACATTTCTAAGCTGCTGAAACCATGCGTATTTCCTTGCACATGTGTACAGGATGACATATGGAGACACCTGTCAACAAAAACGGCACATCTGTGAGACTGCAGCTCAGCTGGGAACCCACCAGTGACCCATTATGTATCCATGCAATCATTCAGTGAATTGATCTGAGATGGGAGGGGGATCTTGTGAATGAGAGGAAAGCTAGGTTTAAATACTTCCATGGAGAAAGCATTTCTTCAGAATGGTAGTGCCCCACTGGTTTTAAGACAGATCTACTCCTGTGATTAGAGAGCCCACTTTCTACTTTAAATTCAAGGATATTCTTGGCAGAGAAATGGCTTAACCTCCCCATTCTCAGCCACCTGGCTTACAGCTGGCTGCAGTTTCATTTATAATGCTGGCACTCTGCAGTTAGCCTGTAAATTATTTCCTCTCTTAGTTTTATGAAGATAATGCTGGGGTGAGGGGAAGAGGCAAGTTTTAAAAACCATATAAAATTAACGTACACAGATGGTATAGTGAGGGTGGCTAATTATATAAAAAGCAAAGATGCTTTTATTTGATTCATTTGGCTTTCCCATGTATTAAATCCTGGGTATATTTAGCAGAAGGGATTTCTCCTGGGGAGGGGGGTTAGTGTTTAAAGCAGGGGTGGGATAACTTTTCCAGTCTAAGGGCCACATTCCACTGTGAACAACCTTTGGAGGGGCCACATGCTAGTGGTTGTGGGCAGGCAGAGGCAAAACTGGGTCCGATCAATAGATGTAATCCTTACCTTTGCACAGTAAGCTACATTCCAGCCATGCAAAAGCCAAAGCTTTCTATACCCCCCTCCCACTTATCTCTATCCAAGCAATCAAAAAGCATTATCACACATTACAACCAAGCAAAAGTAGGAGCAGGGATGCCAAGTGGGGGTGAACTGGGGAGCATCCTGAGGGCCAAATAGGGAGGCCTAGCCCTGAGGTTTCCCATCTCTGTTTTAAAGCCTGTTATGAAAGAGTTGGGTAGCTGTGGATAGAGGCTGATTAGTATCACTTCCATTTAGGTGAGGTCCCCACAAGCTATAACTGCTTCTCTTTCTTTAACAGATAGTGATGGGCACCAACTTGGGATGGCTTTAAAAGAGGATTAGACAGATTCATGGAGGACAAGGCTATCAGCAGCTACCAGCCCCAAGGCTGATGCTCTGCATCCACTGTCAGAGGTGGAATTCCTATGAATACCAGTTTCTGGGAGTCACAGGTGGGAAGAGTGCTGTTGCACCTGGATCCTTCTTTTGTGCTTCCCACGACACTTGTTTGGCCACTGTGAAAAAAGGATGGGTCTTTGTCCTGATCCAGCACAGTTTTTCTTCTTACTTTCAGAGGCTGGGCATTTGCCAAGGAAGGGCAATCGGTTAGTGGGTACCATATCAAAATTTGTATCTTATTCACTGCAGCGGCTATAATTACGGTTTTCCACTGCTTGTATGGTTTTGACAAGTTCAATATATTCTTTACAGTTGCGATGAGAGAAATAAAAACATGTGTTCAGGCTGCAATGGCAATCAGAATGATCTCATTTTTTTTTGCTGGCTGTACAGAGGGCCAAACGACAAATGACTTTTATACTGACAGTTCTGCCTTGGGCGCAGGGTTTCCCTTACACACACTTGACCACACAAAGGATAGCGGGGACATTAACCCCCCTTTGCTCCCCGTGCCTGCAATCTGTGTTGCAAAATATGCCCAGGAAGGCATCTGTCTCTGGTCTCCCTGTTCAGGTTTTCTATGCATTGCAGAGCACTGGAGGGCAGCATCCAACAAAGTGTCAGAAACTGACCCCGGCAAAACACATTTCTATGTATTCTGGCCCTGGAAAACGTGAAGTTGCTGCGATCAGGATGGTCACTTTTTAATTTTATTGTTTATTATTAAAAATCACTCACACACTGCAATCCTAACCAAGAAAGAAAATAAGACGCCGACTTGGATGGCTTTGAAATGGGAATAGACAAATTGATGGGGGATAGGGCTATCAATGACTACTAACTGTGCTGGTTATGTTCCACTGTCAGAGGCAGCATGTTTCTGAATACTAGCTGCTAGAAATTGCAGAAGCAGAGAGTGCTGTTACTCTCTGTTCCTGCTTGTGGGCATCCTGTGAAAGCCCCCCTGGCCTGACTCAGCAGGCTCTTATGACAGCTTATGAACTGATAAATGCATCTCCTCTATTACTCTCTTCTAAGGACACTGTGAATTACAAAATAATTAATTATGAAAAAACATGATGAAGAGCAATGACTATTTATATACACACAACGCACAGGCAAATATATTTGTAACAGGTGCGTTACTAAATTATGATACATTAGGAATGCAGGAAGCCACTTCCAACTAGGCCAGTACTGTCTGCAAGGGAAGAGTTATCAAGCCTCCTATCCTCCATACGATGGTCTGAATTGCTCCCCCTTCTTCTACACGCTGACAATTTTGTGTTCAGAAAGTCCCAAGCCTTCAGCTAATGACACACAGATGTAGCTAATGCAACATCAGCAGTAGAGCATCTGCTTTGCATGCAGAAGGTCCCAGGCTTAAACCCACCAAGTCAAGATAGGGGCTGGGGAAGACACTTGGCTAGAGAGCTTCTGCCAATCTGTGTACAGGCCCCACAGACAGTACTGACCTACATGACTCCTCCTGCCTTCCCTGCAACAGGCGCCTGTCTAATTTTGACTGGTAACTGATTCCAGAGAGCTGGAGCTGCAACACTAAAAGCTCAATTTCTAGTACAGGCTAAGCACACTTCTGGGGCATATGGTACTCTCCAAAGTGCCCGATCTGAGGAGTACAGTTGCTGGGCAGGAATATAGTGGGCAAGGTGGTCCCATAGATATCCTGGTCCCAGGTTGTTTAGCACTTCACATGTTAAAAACAGGTTTAAACTCAGTTTATTGGCTCTCATCCAGCTGTGGCCAGACACTAGTCCAGAGGCTGCATGGCTACTCCTGATTCAGATGGAGATACAGAGCTGCATGCCATCAGCATACTGATGACACTTTCCTCCACATCCCTAATGGCCGATCTCAAAAGCTTCATATAGATGATAAATAGGGGGACAAAATGATACCCCATAACATAAATGCCAACTGGCCAATGAACAGTCCTGCAGGTGGGACTGTAACTGCTGTTAAACACTCATCTCACAGGAGGATGTCGCGGTTGGAGGTATCAAAAGCTGAGAAAATATCAGGCAAATGAAGCAAGGTTGTAGTCCCCTTGTCCCTCTCCTGAGAGAGGGATCATCCACCAGGGTGACCAAGGCTGACTCGCTGTCAAAACCAGGTCTGAAACCAGATTGAAATAGGTTTAGACAATAAGTTTCATCCAAGAGGGCCTGGAGCTGCCCTGCCACAGCCCTTTCAATCACCTTCCCAAGAAATGTTGTTATTAGCAACCGTGATGATGTTTAGGTGCCTACTAAAGACATGTTTGTTTAGTTAGGCTATCCCAGTGGTGTAACTGAGTCATTTATGTAAAATCACTTTTATATTTGATGAAATAGTTTGGTAGTTTCTAGAGTTTGTGTGGCTGGTTTTATCACTTTAGAGTTTGCTGAATCAATTTCACTAGAGCTTGTGTTATGTGCTTTATGGTGCAAAGCAGTCTATAAATTTAACCACATAGCAGCCACATAGGGCGGAGTAGAGCTGCTCTCCCCACACCAGTGTCACTGCAGTTTGCTTAGATGGGCTGGGGCAGGACAGTGGCAAGCAGAAGCAATGCAGTGCTCCTGCTGCTGCATCAGGTCTTATTCACACTTGTCTTTTGCTCCACTCTTTCTAGGCAGTGAAAAGCTTTGTATTTGAGTGCCGCCCCCCCTCGTGGAACTTTCCCTGTGAAAACATGCTCTTTAAAGCTGAATCGGAGCAAATGTCAATCTACAGAAAACCTGAACTGACATTTGGTCTGATTCAGCTTTAAAGAGCAGGTTTCCACAGGCATGACTCCAGGGCAAAAACCCCAACACCACTCAGACACAGAGTTTTTACAGCTGGAAAGAGCGGGGCAATTGGTAAATGTGGTTAAGCCTTCAATCATATAGGCAACCTGTGCTCATCTAGGAATTATGCAGGGGTGTGGGTGGCACTGTGGTCTAAACCACAGAGCCTAGGACTTGCCAATCAGAAGGTCGGCAGTTCGAATCCCTGCGACGGGGTGAGCTCCCGTTGCTCAGTCCCTGCTCCTGCCCACCTATCAGTTTGAAAGCACGTCAAAGTGCAAGTAGATAAATAGGTACCGCTCCAGCGGGACGGGAAATGGCGTTTCTGTGTGCTCCTCTGGTTTCGCCAGAAGTGGCTTAGTCATGCTGGCCACATGACCCGGAAGCTGTCTGCGGACAAACGTCGGCTCCCTCGGCCAGTAAAGCAAGATGAGCTCCGGAACCCCAGAGTCGTTCGCAACTGGGCTTAACTGTCAGGGGTCCTTTACCTTTACCTTTACCACAAGGGCAACACTATGGCTCCACCCCACCACACCAGCTACTACTGGTAACATATGGCAATCCCAAATGTATGATGCAATATCACTGCACTCCTGAGTGTTCCCACTCCAGTTCCAGGGAAGAGGTGCAAGGAAACTCAGAACACAATGATGTCACACGTCACACTTCTGTATTGCTAGATGCTTCAGGGGAAAAGAGAAGGAGAAGAGGTAAGGCTGCAGTATCTGGTGGTAGCTGTACAAACTCCATAACATCTGACTCTTGCCTACAACTACTCTGCTTTCTATCCAGAGTTCGGTAACGATTTTGGGAGTCTTCTTATTGATTTCAGCCAGTCTGATAGCAAGACTGTTTTCTCTTAAGGACAATCCAGTTCGATGAACACTAAAAATAACACAAGCAAAGGGAGAAAAGAGCCTAAGCCTGCACTTTGAACCTTCCCAAGCAACTCTTTGAATCAAGCATACTGAATTATTTTGAAGTGTTGCACTGATACTAAACCTCATGTAACCTCATGGACTGGCGCGAGGGCTTGGCTGGGCAAGAGTCCCAAAGCAATTCAGAGCTCATTAGCAGCACCATTATTTTAAAATGTCACCTTGATCTAAAAGCAAAGACAGATGTTACCATTAAAGTGTTTCAGTTAAAAACTATCTCCCTTTATGAAGCAGCTTGCAGAACAAAATGAGAAAAGATAGATGTCACCAATGAGAAAAGATGCAAGCTCTTGTTTGGAAACTGATAAGTATTCATAACTATAGGTGCCAAATAGTGAAAGAAACCCAAGAGCCATCCAGTTCAGGGATGGCCAGCTTGTTGGGTCTCTCCCCCCGCACCACAAGCTATTTCAACAGTCTTCTGTTTTAACGTTGCCTTTTTGGCAATGATACCAACTGAGAGGCTCACCTGTGCCCACAATAATATACTTTCAGCAAAGACTTGTTTAAGAATCCAAGAAGGAGCCCTGCTGCATCACACCATCTAGTCCAGCTTTTGTCATCACAGTAGCCAACCAGATGCCTATGAGAAGCCTGCAATGGGACATGAGCGTAATGCTCTCTTGCCATTTGTGAATCCTAGCAACTGGTGTCCAGAGGTACACTGCTACCAACAGTAGAGGTGGATTGCAGTCATCATGGCTAGTAGCCAATGGATAGACTTGCATACTGCCCAGGCTTGCGTCCTGGGGAGGTCACTTCAGTGCTGCTAGCGTAGTCGTTTGACTTTACCTCCAGAGGCACACTCCATTGTCTTTTGAAACAGATGGATGCTGACAAAAAAAGTGGGCAACGGGGTAGAGAGGTGTTTCTTACCTGGCCTTCTGATGGATGGTTCACTGCTGCTTTTCAAGAGAGAGACTGGGAGGAGCAAGGAAGCACAGAGATGCATTGTGGGGAAGAAAGCATTTGGCCCAAGCTTACCTCATGCAATCTTTTTTCCTTCTTCACTGACACCTCATCAAATGTTTTCACACTGAGTGGCCGATTCTTGGGGTTAATACTGAAAACAAGGAGAATGAGAGATTCAGTCATGGACTTTTAGTTCTTTATTGTGTGGTGGAAAGATGAAAACAACAGCTGCATTTAGCTTTTAGGCACATGTATACTGAATCATTTTTGTTGAGCCACAGCACAATCACAACACAAGGAGAATGCTGGAGCTGGTCCCCAAAAACTTAGGACTCACCTGTGCAGTTGCTGTGTGGCCCCAACAAAGTTGTTCTAGCGCCTAGCCTCAGTTGCATGGAATATGGAAATAACAGCCACCAGCCCAAAAAATAGTTTGGAGGTAAAATTAGAAAGAAAAAATCTCTACAGCCTACCCTCTCTCTTTCAGGTTTCTGTCATGCTCTAAATTAAAATTAAAATGCAGCTCCCTTCAATGAATGGATAGAAGATATCTACAAACTCACAACACATGAAAAAATGCCTATAAACGTAGACTTCCCATGGACAAATTTAATGATATTTGGAATTTTCTATAAATGCTGTATTAGGTTAAATGTAGGTTAACTACAATAACAATCTTGTAATGTTTAAAAGTTCTGTTTTTGTTTCGTTTTGTATATGGTTGTTATCTTTCCCCCCCGTTTTCGCTTTCCCTCCTTTTTTCACGTTTTATTTTATCCTGTGCACTTAACAATTACATACACATTACTTTTTATATCTCAATAAAGAATATAAATATATTAACAAAAGAGCAAACAAAGGTGTAAAAAAACAGAACCCAGAACAGGGCTATGCAGGTAACATGACTATGAATACAGGAGAATGATACATTATGGAGGATGAAGGAAGTAGCCAGCAAATGGCATGACTGTTATGGAAGGGACAAAAATGACCCCTCCAGAAAACCAAGTCAGCAGTGGAGAGGGGAGGCTCTACCACCCACTATTCCTGAAAATATCCCTTTATTGTCTCGTACATCAGGGTCAGGAACCTCAGGCCTAATAGCCAAATGTAGTCTTCCAACTCTCTCTATTCTCTATTCCCTTAGGATTCTCGCCTGGCTGTACCTCTTACTAGTCTTGCTCTGGCCTGAAAAAGGTTCTCCATCTGCACCTTGCCATCTTCTTTAAGAAGAAGTACAATTGTTGCCAAGAGATGCACTGCTGTCCCCATAACTCACAGCCATGTCCTCCTGCAATGGAGCCACTGCCTCTGCCTCCCTGTGATAACGATGCCTTTTTGCTGGTAAAGATATATAGATGCTGTATTATCTATTTGCTGAGATTCCGCAGGCTACCCCGGACCTCTTACATTTCCATCCCGGAACAGCAAACAAATCACTGGCTTTACCCTCCTGTTAGCAAAAGCTTAGAAACAGCAGCAGCCTTCTCCCAAACCCCAAAGAGAAGGACGAATCATTATGATTATTTTACAAAATCCTTACTAGGCTTCCAGTGTACTCCAGCGATGAAAACCCTTCTTCACATTCTCTTCAAGGATGCTGATTTTGGGTTTGGAATCTCCATCTGGGCACAACGTAATGTTCAGTGGGATGTAGTCTTTCCCATCCTACATATTTCATAATCAAGAAGAAAACAAGGGATTCATTTTTCTTACTTGGCTTCAGTCATTAGTGACTGTCACATTCTGCTGAGTTGGTCTCTAGCAGGTTGCCTATCCCAGAAACCCTCTGGAGTTTTGCTTCTTTCTTTCATTTTTCTATGAAACTACTGTGAATGTATTGGCAATGCAGCAGCACGATTAGGGCTTAGGGCTTTTGACTGGCCTCTCGTCTCTGAGGTGATCTAAGGATACCTAGTGAGCTGAGATTTAGTCTTGGGTCTCCCAGCTCAAAGCCTTGATCAGGAAGACAAAAATAACAAATTTGACACTCACTTTCAGTAGCTAAAAAGATCTGCTCATCTCTGTCATTTGGCATTTCCTATAACAATTTTCAAGGCAAATATTAGCAGAACTGGAGCACCCTCTTGCACATTTTAATGTTATGCCCTCAGTTCTCCTTGATGGAAGATTTAAGGAGTTACCTTATATTAACAGGTTATGTCCCTGTGGTTCAGACCTAAATGATACAGTAATCCATGTTTTATTGTTTTGCAATTTTAACACCAAATAGTTGATCAATCCACTAATCACTTTGAATCTTGGAAGACTGGTAGAAATGTTTATCTTCTTCTTTCTGATACAAATAAGTTAATTACAGAAATGGTAATTAAATTTCTGCTAAGTGCAATGATGATACAAGTAAAAATATTTTCCGAATAAATGAAATCTTTTTCCAAAAAGCACACACAAACCCTGCCCTGAGATATTTGATAATTCTGCAATTCTATTATGGTATGTTTTATTGTGAAATCTGGATCAATAAAATGAGTTATGATCACTTATATATCTATTTATTTAGGTAATTTATACATTGCCACATACAGTGGTACCTCGGGATGCGAACAGGATCCGTTCTGGAGCCTCGTTCACATCCCAAACAGAACGCAAAACATGACAGCGCATCTGTGCGTGCGCGGGTCGCATTTCGCCGCTTTCGCGCATGACGTCATTTTGACCATCTGCACATGTGTGAGCGGTGAAACCCAGAAGTAACGCGCTCTGTTACTTCCGGGTCGCCGCGGACTGCAACCCGAAAGCGCTCAATCTGAAGTGTATTTATCCCGAGGTATGACTGTACTTTGAAAATGGCTCAAAGCAGTTTACAGCATTCTAAAAAAAATCATCAAAAATACAAAACATATTTTTAAAAGTTCATGTTGTAAAGCAGCACAGAAGAATTAGGTAACATCCTCCCAAACATCATTATATAAATCTAAAAGAATTAACATAGTAACTACTAAAAGATCAAAATACAGAAACACAGCAAAGATACCTAGTCATCTCTTATGCCCCTTTTCAATGTGCTACTTTCGTTGAGTATTCTTTACATAGCCATACCCATATCCTCCAAGGGGGTCAAAATAAAGGAGCTAGACCAGGCTTTGCCAACTACCAGACCACAAGACACACCTAGTTTTTGGAGGAGGAAAACAAGAAAAAAATATATTCTGAATCCCAGAAGCCAGAACAGCAAGAGGGACCGCTGCGCAGTGAAAGCAGCAATCCCTCTTGCTGTTCTGGCTTCTGGGATAGCTGTGCAGCCTGCATTCGCTCCATAAGACGCACACACATTTCCCCTTACTTTTTAGGAGGGGAAAAGTGAGTCTTATAGAGCAAAAAATGCGGTCAGTGCCCCTGAACGGTTTTTGACAACAGCTCTCATCAGCCCAAGCCAGGGCACAAGGCTGATGGAAGTTACGGTCAAAAACATCTGGAGGGCACCAGGATGGTGAAGGCTGTGTTAGATGAGCTTCCCAAAAGACATGTCTCAGGATATCTGCACATCAGTGTTGCTACATTTTTTTCTAAGGAGCTCAAGGTGGGGCACATAGTTCTCCCCCTCATTTAATCCCCACAACAACCCTGTGAGGTAGGCTAGGCTGAGAGGCAGCAACAGGCCCAGGATCTCTATTCAGTTTCAGTTTGATTATGTATTTTGTGTTCTCATTTTGTATTTTTATGTTGTGAGCCTTTCTTTGTTCTTTGGACGAATGATGGTATGCAAATTTAATAAATAATAGCAATAACAATGGCTCAGCGGGGATTTGAACCCTGGTCCCCCCAAGTCCTAGTTTGGTCCTCTAACCACTACATCACCCCACGAAGACCCTTTTCAATTCTGCCACCACCCTCTTCACCTACTTTTATTCTTCTTGTTCCTTAACATCATCTTTTCTTTCTTGTTCTCCTTGGCTATGTTTGGAATACACAAATTATACTCCCCACCCCCACCCCCACATGGCAAACTAGGTCTCCATCAACTGAGCTTCACTGATTTGTTTCGCCAAGTGAAAAGGGAGAACTGAAAACCAAGATACTGAAGGTTACATAACAGCTCTGCTCTAAAAGCAGAAATAAAAGGTTGATCAAGCTATTGTGCAGCAGGCAATTATGTAATTGCCTTTGTGGGACACAAAGCCTTTTATGTCAAAGCCCTTGAAAGCAATGATGAGTTTAGGACACCGGATATATGTCTGTGTCCAAGCTACATATCTAAGGAGAAACAAGGTAGTCACTTTCTGGATGCTGAAAACTAATTAAAAATATGCATATTGTTTATCTAGGGAGACAAATTAGGCTTTCAATGATTGGACATGATTTTTTTTGCTGGTCATGCATGGCTACAACTGGATCTGTGAGCATGAGATATATTGTGCCCATTCAACATTTGCTCTGTATTTTCTGCTATGATGCAACCTTTAACAAACTTGTTTAATGTAAGTTCCCATATTTCAGCAAAAGCACACAAGCTCTGCACACATTGATTAAACTTGAAACAAGATAGATTTCCCTGAACTTTACCTGTTGAACATTTGCCTGGAGTAAGTCTCCTAAACGTTCCACAAGTTCGGAGAAGGTGGGCCTCTCTGTCGGCACTCCATGCCAGCAATCCAGCATGGTCTTGTAGCTACAAGAAAAGAGAATTGAGCTTTAAACATCAACAATTCTTATTCACTTGTGATGTTATCTTTTCTCTTCCTGTCACCATCTGAAAGCTGGTATAAGGGCTTGTCCAGACTTCCTTTTGTGCCACGCTTTCAACGTCTGTGTCTGAGAATGGTTTTTTGTTTTGTTCCGCTGCTTTCCCCAGATTGCAGACCTGGGTGATGCTTTTCTAGAGCAGATTACCAAAGATTCAGAAAGGAGTGGTACAGTAGTAATGGGAGACTTCAACTACCCAAATATATTTTGGATGGCAGGTCTAATGATATTACATTGGCCGTGGCAAAGTTTCTTCCAGAAGTTAAAAGAAACAAAGATCATCATGCTTGAGACGTAACAAAATGACGGCCTGGGTTTCTCTCTCTTTTGTGATTGGCTGTCTTGACTGTATTTTGTTCTGAAATTGTTCTATGGGTCTTTGGACTGCAATAAAGATTTATTTATCTGTTGGAACTCAAACTCTGCCAAAAATGTAAAGTCCAACAAATTCCTCAACTGCTTCAATAACAATTTCATTTTCTAGAAGGTGGAAGAAGCAACAAAGGGGAAATCTATCTTGGATCTGGTCCTCACTAACAGGGAGGAACAGATCAACAAAGTGGAAGTACAGGGAATCTTGGGAGGAAGTGATCATGTCCTCTTGGGTTTCATGATACAGAGACAAGGGAAAGCTGAGTGTAGTCAGACACGTACTATGGACTATAAGAAGGTCAATTTCAAAAAGCTGAAGATACTACTGGGTGAGATACCATGATCAGAAATACTCAAGGAGAAAGGAGTCCAAGATGGATGCTAATTTCTTAAAGGTGAAATACTGAAGACATAAAAGCAGACAATTCCAAGAAAGAAAAAGTGGGAGGCATCTAAAGAAAGCAGTACAATTGCATAAGGAGCTCACAGATGAGTGGAGATTTAAGAAGGGCATGTCTAGGGAATGGATTAATGGAAAAGCACAAAAGGAAGCATATACATGAATAGCCAACACTTGCAGGCAGAAGTTCAGGCAGGCTAAAGTGCAGAATGAACTCAGGCTTGCAAGAGAGGTTAAAAAATATATAAAAGGTTTCTTTGGCTATGTTTGAGGAGACAGGAAGAATAAATAGGTCCTTTGGATGGAGAAGAGGGAGAAATGCTATTGGGGGACAGAGAGAAGCCAGAGCAGCTCAGCACCTCCTCTGCCTCTTTTGTCACTTCCAGAAAAGCAGTTCCCAACCCGATGATAACAAAATTAATGATGCAAGGAGGGAGCTGCAGCCGAAGACAGGAAAAGAAGTGGTAAGGGAACACCTAGCTACTTTAAATGAATTCAGATCTCCAGGGCCTGATGAGCTTCACTCAAGGTACTAATGGAGCATGCAGATATAATCTCAGAGCCTCTGTCTATAATCTGGAATAGCTGGAAAACAGAAAAGGTCCCTGTGAGCAAATGTCACCCACATCTTCAAAAAGGAAGTTTGGTAATAAGGCATACACTTTGCATGTAGAAGATACTAGGTTCAACCTCTGTCATCCCAAGTAGGGCTGGGAAAGACTCCTGCCTGAAATCCTGGATAGCTTCTGCCAGTCATTGTAGATAATACTGAGTTTGATGAACCAATAGGCTCACATAGTGTAAGGTAGCTTCCCATGTTGACCTCTTTAAAATGATGCATTGCGGGTTAAGATCATGATTAGGACTGGGTGATGTATCAAAACATTGTCCTGGACCGGTCTGAAGGCCTTCACCTGGTGGTATATCACTGGTGGGGCTTGCCTGCCACCTTCTTTCATTGGCTGCCTCCTTCGTCCCTGTGCTGGGCGCTGTCGCTGGAGGGAACTGAGGCAGTTTCACCCCATTGCCTTGCAGCGCTGGGGCTGAATGATGCTCCTTTTCAACATCACTATGTTTAGCTGGTTATACATCAGAATGTTGAAAAGCTGTTATCACCCAACCCTAGTCATGACTGCCCACATTCTAGAAAGCTGAACCACTGAAAGGTAAGCTGACATCTTGGTATTTATGAGAGAAGACTGGTTACTACATTTCCCCCTTTTTATCACTCTTAAAAGCCAAATGCTTGTATGAATTGGTCCTAAGGTCATTTGTATGAATGAATGAACACATATTCCCAATTTCATAGTAAATTACAGTACTTTTACACAGTATAACTATGTCCACATAAATGTTTTTAATGAAAAAAAATCCCACTTGTCTATTTAAAAGCAACTTGCATCCCACTTGTTTTTAGAACTTCTAAGGGAGGACCACCCCCCCAAATGGTAAAGAATAGATATAATTTCCTAACCGCTGCTTTTGGACTAGGTGTTGGGTGAAACAGCTGTTCAGAGTACATTACCCAGCCAGCAGCTCTGCAAGGCAAAAATCCACACAGTACTTGAAGAAGAAGGGAGAGGGTAAGGCAGGCACACTAAACATTCCAAAAGGAAGAGGAACAATGAGGGACATATGCTGAAGCACATTAATACATAATGCTGTCCATTAGCAAAATTAATTGATAGATATGATTCATGCATTTCATCTCCTACAGGGTCAATATATCAGTACACAAAAGTGACCAAGGAAGACATGTGAATCACAATGGGGGGATTGGAAGTCATGTTGGAATTTGTGATGTGTGAACTCAATCTTTTTTTTGTATTGAGTGTTGATCATTTTGTTGATTGTTGTGTATTATAATAATAATAATAATAATAATTTATTATTTATACCCCGCCCATCTGGCTGAGTTTCCCCAGCCACTCTGGGCGGCTCCCAATCGAGTGTTAAAAACAATACAGTATTGTTTTGTACTTTTTTAAATAAAAAAAACCAATAAAGCATTTAAAAAGAAAAGAAAGACAGACATGCGAGATGAAATTACATTTCTGGAGTTGAATATTCTGGTGATCTCATCCTTGTCCCTTCCTTGAGGCGTCGACAGAAGTCCTCATCAATCTGCACACCTGGATATGGTGTCGCTCCTGTAGACACAAACACAGACACAGACACAGACACAGACAGACAGTTAATGTTCTGCCAGATGCTTTAAGCAGAGCCTGCATCTCCTGCAAGAAGGATAACACTTCCTTGATGCAACACCATCTAGCATCCCTACAAATAAATCAGAATGGATGCTAACTAAATAGCCAACATGGACCAATCTCCTTAGGAACAGATAATGAAGAAAGCTCAATAAACTGGTCATCTGGAAGCACCCTGAAACGGAAATCTCCACTTATCATTATGGCTCAGAATTATTGATAGACAAATTATTTTTAAGCTGTCTAAGCTGGTTGCCATCACCAAATGTGGTGGCACTGAATTGCAGAAAAAGGAGATAAGGTAAGGAGATTTGTGACCTACATACTATCATGTATAGAGAGGATGGGCTCATAAGTGGGACTGGCCAGTATCCCATTGTCCAGATGGATTTTCCCTGAAAATCTATGGCCTGGGACTAGGTGAAGATATGTCATGAGATGGTTGCCTGCAGGTGATTCAGTTCCTCTTAGTTATGCATAGATGCGAAGTCAATGCAGACATCCCCTTGCAGCGATCAAGCAAAACTATTGTGCGACTTCAGCTCCTGAAAAGACTCGGTCAAGAGCAAAAGTTTAAGGCAAGATAGGCTCAAGCTCTTGTTTCATGAACGGCTGATGGGATAAAAAGAAATGTGAAATGTACTGGATAGAAAATGTCTAGAGAGACAAGTCACCTCAGCCCGCTGCTTGCACCTTGTTCTCTTTTGAAGACCCTGCAGGAGCCTTGCCTCCAGTAATGACAGCTGAACTAATATGACAAGGAAACCGAAAAGAACACAAATAAATCACCCTGACTAATACAACTGTCAGGGCAAAGAAAGTAAGTGTGCAATGGAGCTGAGAAGCTCTCTAATAGACCTTGATTTCCTCAGAGCGGGGTGGGGGCGAGGAAGTATATTCCACTTCAGAATTGCAAGTGTTGGGAAAAACATGACTCTCTTCAACTATGCTTCAGGTTTTATCTCCCTTTTTGTTTTTGTTTTGTTTTTTACAGGATGCCCATAAAACTGCTGGCTTGAGACAGCCTGAAGGCAGAAAACGAAGGGAAACCAGGCCTTCTTCCTCTTCATTCATTCATTCTTGCATATGTACATTTCATCACATTTACATCCTCCCTTTCTTCAGCTTTGGAACTCAAGGAAGCCTAAATGTGGTTCTTAGTTTGTGTCCTCCATCCAGGTGCTGACCAGACCTTGACCTGCTTAGCCTCAGGTGCCTTAAGTTACTATTTGACTATAAGCATCTACAGGACAAAAGAGCAAAAGAACCCACCACTGAATCAGGACGAGGAGGATATCATCTAGCTCACCATACTGTTTCCCACAGTGGTCTAACCCAGTGCTCCTAAAGTCACCCCTGATCCTGAAGCTTACCTATCTACTGTATGTGAAAAAACATGCTTTGGGGATTTAGAACTAGACAAAATATCTGTGCTGTATGCAGTTATTGCTAATTCATACAATTCTTCTGACATGTCAGGAAGTGAACCTGAAGCAACTCCTTGAGCTGTCACTGCACACCTCAAATCAAACAGCAACCAGGATTGCCCCAACCCTTTGATTACATTGCATTGTAAAATGTTAACCAACTACTTGCCAACTTTTCAAACAATTTATTGATCGCTTAAATGTATATTATAACTGCTTCTTCAATGCTGGACGGGCGTTAAAATAACTTAGTGTTTCAGAAAACAACAGATAATGTTCTGAGTGTGAGTTCCCTGTTCAGCAGCTTTCCCTGGAATCATGCCTCCTGAAAGCTTGAGTTATTATAAAAGTTAATAGAAGAATTAATTCCGCTCTAACTCTGTAAGCTTCCCAATTCCTTTATTTCCCAGAGGGTTGTGGGATGTAACGTTCTTTTCATAATCTGGCCTCCCTGAAGCCTGAAGAATCATTTGGAAGAACATGTAATCCGGTTTTAACATAGGAGATTTAAAGGAATCTGAATGGGAGTCCAAGTTTTGAAGAATCTCTGTACACTTTACATTCCATGCTCAATTTCCTGTTTTTGTCTATCTCTGGCCTGACAGCTTTCACTGGATGCTTGGGAGCAAAGTAAGTAATGCAGGAACAAGGAGGAATGAATGAGAACCCAGGCCAGAGAACAACTGTTCCTTAAAACTGTTTGGATAACCTGGGGGTTGTCGCTTCAGCCACGGTATGCAAAGATGTGTTCCAATTGCTAAGGAGGCTTTTATGAAAACAATGTTGACAGAAGTTGGAAAATCCCTTTTGGGTGTATAAGAATATTTAAAATATGAATGTAATCAAACATAGAGGATATAAATAATATATCCTTAGGGTTTGGTCTCCTTTGCACTTCCTCCTTTCCTCTTTGACTACCTCCAACTCCACATTCCTTGTATCAGTTTTAATCATAGGTCAGTGTCACGTCTGCACTACTTAATAAATGCTATGCCAAACCTTCAAATGGTCTTTATTTTGACTGCTTGCGGGGCAGCAGGCACAAAGCATAGTCGTCTCAGAAAAAAGTGGTATGTGTATGTAGAAGTGATGTCTTTTACTATCTGAATTTTTTATTTTAATATAGGCAGTGGAGTGGAGGAGCCCTGTAAAAGGGGATTTTGGAAGCCCAAACATGCCCCATAACAAAGGCAAACAAGCCTTCATGTTCTGGTTCTTAATGATCTGTAAAAAAATTTTTATGTAAGTGAGTTCCATCACTGACACAGCTCCTCAATTAAATATTTATTGCATGAACTGTAGATAGGAGAGTGCCAAAACACAGAAATGCCTGGCTGATTTTTATCAACACATTGCTTTGGAAGAAAAACTTGCTTTTCAACTGCAGCCACAGAAAAGGAAATGGGACTCTAATCCTGAGTCACACGACAAGGTAATCAGAAATTGTGCTGTGACCAGAATGGGATGCAACCCAGTGCAGATAGAGCAACCCGTTGTCTCAATGGAGCAGTTTGGGTTGGCAGTAGGGATGCACGAATCTGTCATTTTTAGTTTTCCCCCCATTACTCATTTTTCCAGACTTAGATTCTGTTGTCCACATTTCCACATCTGTTTGTAATCTTTATATATATATAAAAGAAGCCCCATGAAAATTCAGTGATTTTCTCCTAATATGCACATTTCTGTATGCAACTTTCTCTCATGCGCATATTTTTGCAATATACCCAATATACTCTGTACCCAAAGAGAGTAGGTACAAGTTGGATTCCAGAGCAGAAGAGACTATTATGATTGACTATGCTCCTGGGAGCAAAGTATACAACATAATGGGCCTGAGAAAGGGAAAGTCAGCACAAGACATGTGGTTCATTTACCTCGACTACTTTGCTTAGGTATTCCACAACCTCTGTGTGGTCTTGGTCATTTTCAGTTGCAATAATTAAACCATCTACAATGCCAAAACTTAATAAAATTATTCATTTTTGCACTTGGTGTATAAGCACCTGTCTGTGTGATGCTGTGTGTAACCCCAGCTGTATAGTTTCTCATTCCATGCTGTAGCAGCTTGTTCTGAGCCACCAAGCCCCTTCTGAAATTTGCATACTAGATGTGCTTCCTTTGGTTTGATAAAACCTTTAGGCTGTTCCATATAAATCTCTTCTGAGATCTGGCCATGCAAAAATGTGGTTTTAATGTTCCACCTCCATTTGTTTAGAAACAGTGATGCTGAAAAGCAGGCTAGCACCCCCCCACCGCCCTAATGTCTCAGACTTCTCCAGATGTTTTGGACTACAACTCCTATCAGGCAGTCTGGAAATTGGAGCCCAAAACATTTGGAGGGCACCAAGTTGAGGGAAAGCAGAATATTGTAACTAAGTCTAAGCTGAGAAATAGAAACTGGCATTCTTTTCCAAGATCCACAGCCTGATGAAGCATTTGGACAAAAATAACCACTTTGTTGTTATTCAGATTCTTTCTAATAGATCAGCCTGAATACTTGCAATTGTAGATTGTTATTCATGAAACTCTCTGCAGACTAATTTAGTTTTCCTGCTCTCTACTCAAAATGCCTAAGGTTTGTTCCACTGCATACTGGGATAAAGAAGCAACAATCCACATTCCTTTCCCAAAATGTAAGCGATTTGATCTAGGGATTAGCAAAATCTGTCAATTTCAATTTCTCTCACTTTCTCATTTGTCCACTCTTCAGTTCAGTTCTCCACATTTCCACATCAGTTTGTGAATTTTTAAATCAACAAGTTGCCATGAAATTGAAGCAGCATTTTAGTGTGATTTTTTCCTAATACACACCGTTTTTGTTATTCAATTTTGCCTAATACATTAATTTTTGCAAAGCAACATTTAGTGATATCTGCATTTTTATGCACACTTGATCTTAGTATATGCATGTTTGCACACATTACTTGGCAGGTGAACTGCATTGCAAAATTGAGAGAAGTGCAAATTCCAAGCGGGGTTGTGTTTTGGTTTGCGTATTGCACTGGCAAGCGTGAATTAGGTTGGTTTGCCATTAAATGAAAACAATCAAATTCTCTCCCCACCCCATCCTTACTTTTGCCTTTCTAGAAAGCCTTACCCCTTAAAAATGCACATGGGCATGAATGGAGAATGAATAATCATTCCAAACATTCTGTGGCTTGCATGAGTGGCACAGTCAGGGGGGGGAAAAACCATCTCTTTCTCCTTCTGGCAAAAGAACATGCAAAGTCCGGCATAACTGCTTGCATTTCTGTGACAGCGGCTTCAGCCAACCTGTGGGCCCTGTGGGTGTTTTGTGTTTCATACGGTCAGCATTTTGGAAAGAATTCTTCTAGGATCAAATATCTGCAGCATTCATTCTCTCCCCGCTCCTTGTTGTGGGAGTTCTTATATTGCTAGCGGTGGGCAGATGAGCCGTCTGGGGCAGGAGCCGCAGCAAGCAACTCTTTGAGCTGTGTGGTCCCTAAGTTGAACCCGCTCGGCCTGTGGGAAAATACCATTTGACAGGAAGGTTTTCTGCTCCATCAAAATAGCTTTAATCCACAGAAGCCACGATTAAGTGTTTTCCACAAAGTCTCCTGGTTTGAACTGCTGCAAATGTCAATTCCAGCTTTGAAAGCATTTGTTGTGGGCCAAAATGTCTATCAGTCACATCAAGATCCATCTAAAATCAACCTCTGGCTTAAGAAGAGTGTATAATCAACAATCAGCTTTTGCTTTTTTTTTTTAAAGGGTTTTGGCTTCAAACCAATTCAGAGATTGGCAAAGCTATTCACTGAGCCCTCACAGCCTGCCTCGCGGAAAGTAGGAAAGCTGTATCATATCACCTCAGACCACTTATCCATCAAGCTCTGTATGGCATATTCTGACTGGCAGAAATTTTCCAGGGTCAGGAAGGGCTCTTGCCCATCAGCTGCTCACACTTCTGCTTATGCCCTGCCTAGAAAGCACGTGTCTGTGCTGTTTTCCCCTTGGCCCGCTCCTTCCCAAAGGAAAACTTGCTCTTTAGCAATAGATCAGAATAGATCCAGGAAAAACCCAAATGGCTGTTTGCTCCAGCTGAGAGCTAAAGAGCTGTTTTCCCTAGGAGAAAGCAGCGGGATGAGAGGAAGTGTGGATAAGCCCTAACCTGAACTATATGGGGCAAAGCATTGATGCTGACCTTTAAAGCCCTAAATGGCTTCAGCCCTGTATACCTGAAGGTGCATCTCCACCATCTTTCAGCCTGGACACTGAGGTCCAGCTCTGAGGGCTTTCTCGGAGGGTTCCCTCATTGAGAAAAGTGAGATGACAGAAAACCAGGCAGAGGGTCTTCTGGGTAGTGGCTCCCGCCCTGTGGAACACTGTCCCATCAATGTCAAGGAAATAAACAGCTATCTGACTTTTAGAAGACATCTGAAGGCAGCCCTGTATAGGGGTGTTTTTAATTTTTGATGTTTTATTATGCTTTTATATTTGTTGGAAGCTGCCCAGAGTAGCTGGGGACCCAGTCAGATGGACGGCATGTAAATATATTTATGATGATGATGATCCCTTCTGAGACCCCACCCATAGAAATGTTTGGCTGCAGCAACGTTGACTTGTTACTGAGGTGCTCAGCTTTGCTTTCACTTTATACCTATATATTCCTGAGCACCGTGACTCCTAAATATTTGCTCTGCCAAGCAAGGGCTTGTGCACACCAGAGGATGTGAACAGCGCTGCATGCCAGCCATTTTCATGAACAGGAGGTGAGATTGTTCTTATGGCATATGGAGGTGTAAGCACTGTGGATAGATGCAAATTTCCTTGTTCTGCTATGGTTGATGTTATTTAACAAATTTATAAACTGCTTCAGGGTCTGAGGCCATCAAAGTAGTGTACAAGATTAAAAGGGAATTAAATAAAATCAAAAAGATTTTTTTCAAAAAAACCCAACAATTAAAAGCACCCCTCCCTACACATCTATAGTTAATATTTCATAAATGAGTTGGTCACACCTCAGTGAAAACCTTCTTAAATAAAGCTGTCTTCAGCAGGTGCCTAAACATCTATTTTCAGCTGCTGTCTAATTTTCAGATGGCTGGAACGGCAACTCTAAAAGTCTGGTTTCTAGGAGAAACCAAGCACATCTCTAGGACATGTGGTACTCTCAGCACAGCTCCATCTAAGGGCTGCTGTAACTGACTCCTTTTGAATATAGCCACCACAGGCATGGTGCCCTTCAGTAGTCCTGACAAGTAGAAGCTTTGTAAGAGAGCACCTCAGTATCTACTGGTAATATAGACAACCATCGTTAGCACCGAAAAAGAATTAGGAACCCTTCATGCAGATTAGCACACAGAGCTCCAATAGTAACTCAGTAATATTAAATCATGCCTGATTTGTTACTCTCTATTAACAAATATCCTACTCTCATTCTTCATCTGAAATGTATTTTGCACAGCATTCAGTCCATTTACAATAAAACACAATAAAAGTAAGCACAACCTTACCTAGAGAAAATATTTCCCACAGCAACACACCAAAAGACCAAACATCGCTCTGAGTGGTGTAAGTTTTGTCAAAAATAGCTTCTGGAGCCATCCATTTCAGAGGAAGTCTCGCCTACAAAATGAAGAAAGCAAAAGGAGACTAGTATTAACAATATTTACATTTGTCCAGACAGAGGCGGACTTAGGGGAGCAAGAACAGTTTGGCCGTACTGGACGTGGAGCCTCCTAGCTGCAACTATGATATAGAATGGAAGGCAAGAGATTGGGGGATTTTGGCATTGTGGTGAGATTTGATACCCCAAGAGCCACCACTGGTCCAGATGCAGGGAAGTAATAGTGCCACTCCATTCTGCATTGGTCAGACTCCACCGGGAGTGCTGTGTCTAGTTCTAGTTTAAGAATCATAGAATCATAGAGTTGGAATAGACCACAAGGGCCATCGAGTCCAACCCCCTGCCAAGCAGGAAACACCATCAGAGCACTCCTGACATATGGTTGTCAAGCCTCTGCTTAAAGACCTCCAAAGAAGGAGACTCCACCACACTCCTTGGCAGCAAATTCCACTGTCGAACAGCTCTTACTGTCAGGAAGTTCTTCCTAATGTTTAGGTGGAATCTTCTTTCTTGTAGTTTGGATCCATTGCTCCGTGTCCGCTTCTCTGGAGCAGCAGAAAACAACCTTTCTCCCTCCTCTATGTGACATCCTTTTATATATTTGAACATGGCTATCATATCACCCCTTAACCTCCTCTTCTCCAGGCTAAACATGCCCAGCTCCCTTAGCCGTTCCTCATAAGGCATTGTTTCCAGGCCTTTGACCATTTTGGTTGCCCTCCTCTGGACACGTTCCAGTTTGTCAGTGTCCTTCTTGAACTGTGGTGCCCAGAACTGGACACAGTACTCCAGGTGAGGTCTGACCAGAGCAGAATACAGTGGCACTGTGAAGAAAGTTGAAGAGCTAGAAAGTGCAGAGGAGGGCGACCAAAATTAGAAGGGTACGGAAACCTTATGAGGAACAGTTGAGGGACTTGGGTATGCTTAGGCTGGAGAAGAGAAGATTGAGAGGTGATAGGACAGCTGTCTTCAAATATCTGAAGGGCTGTAACATGGAAGATAGAACAGGCTTGTTTTCTGCTGCTCCAGAGGGTAGGACCTGAACCTTTGGATTCAAATTACAAAGAGGGAGATTCTGACTAAACATTAGGAAGAACTTTCTGACAGAGCTGCTTGACAGTGGAATGGACTTCTTTGGAAGGTGGTGGACTCTCCTTTGATGGAGGTTTTTAAGCAGAGGTTGGGTGGCCATCTACCTAGCTGAACTAGGTGACCCTTGGAGCCCCTTCCAACACTACCATTCTAGGATTCTAGGATTTATCAACCTGTATTTACCCATATCCTATCCCACTGACTTATTTGTTTCAGTCTGCTTAAAAGGGTGGACCACACATGATTCTGCATGCCTACAAGACTTACGTCGCCTTTCCGCACATAGTCAGGATCTTTGTAAATATCTCTGGCCAATCCAAAGTCACAGATCTTCACCACATTGTTTTCAGACAGCAGAATGTTCCTGGCTGCCAGATCCCTGTGAATGCACTGGAGGAAAGGACAATTGAAATAAAAAAATATTTTAAAAATTTATTTTGTTTTGTTTTATTTATTATTTTATACCCTCATTGTAAGAGCTGAGCTTCAACAACTTATTGAAATATTAAAGGGCATTTTTTAAAATTAAAAAGTTTGCAAATAATGAAGCAAGTGACTAGAGAATGGAATCAGAACCAAAAATATTATTGAATCCCTCAAGATCAGATGTGCTTTCCTTTTACATTTTTCTTCAGAAACACTATTGCTAAAATATACCAATATACAACATTACTCCTAAGACACACATTCCTCAGATATTTACACTTTCTTTACATCTTATACATTACTATATGCTCAACTTCTACTTTGAATCCTAACATATGCATATATCAAAATAACATATAATCTTTTATTCAAACCCATGTTTTTCAGATAAACTGATCTGCCATAACTAAACGGTTCAAATCTTTCTACCATACATAGAAAGGACACTGTCAATCTGATTATTTATACCTGATTTCATACCTTGTGCAATAATACTGCCTTCTATTAATAATTACGCATTCAGCTGCTTTGCCTCTGTTAAATGGAGAATGTCGGGCTAGATGGACCTTAGTTGGATTAGTTGGATCTTGTTCTGATTCAGCAAGGAAGATCCTACAACTTTGATTACATCTCCATATGCATGCGGAAGTGATTCTTGCATTAGTGAGGACTTATAAGACTGGGTTGTGCTTATCAACTGATCCACGGTTCTTAACAAAGATCATATGGGACCTTCTCACTCAATGTCTTTAACAGCAATGGGGTTTTAAACAGGACTTACTTTCCTGGAGGCCAAGAACTCCATGCCTTTGGCGACCTGGAAGCTGTAGCAAATCAAGTCCTCCAAGGTCAGGGCACGCTTGTAGAGATCTTCAACATCTAAGAGAGACCAAGGAGAAATCTGAGCAATGCACATCACATCACAGGGTCAAGTCATGCATTCAGAGCAGTAGAGGGAATTGCTCTCAGGATTAGTCCTAGCCAGAAGCACTCCCACAAGAGGAGCCCACTGTGGCAATACCCCTCCAGCCCAAGGACTCCTGCTTGGAAGTACTAGTGCAATCAGGGTCTCCCCTGCTCTGCTAGAATCAATGATTGCTAAAACAGGCTGAGTCATCACAACTGCAATAGTGGCAAAACTGCATTAAAGTTCAGTCTGAGGATAACAAGTGCTGAAGCAACAGCTGAGCTTTGCTGTTAAGAAGCTGTCCAGGGTACCATTGAAGACTTAAGTCTCTACTACAGAGGCCCACCTAGGAGTGCTAAAGCACGTCAAAGCGCAATTAGATAAATGGGTACTGCCCCGGTAGGAAGGTAAACAACGTTTCCCTGCGCTGCTCTGGTTTCACCTGAAGAGGCTTAGTCATGCTGGCCACATGACCTGGAAGCTGTCTGCGGACAAACGCCGGCTCCCTCGGCCTATAGAGCGAGATGAGCGCGCAACTCCAGAGTCGTCCACGACTGGACCTAACGGTCAGGGGTACCTTTACCTTTTTACAAAGGCTATGGCTCCAAACACATCCTAAGCATAGCTGTTAACGTTTCCCTTTTTCAAAGGGAAATTCCCTTATTCCAAATAAGATTTCCCTTAAAAAAAGGGAAAAGTTGACAGCTATGAATTCCTAAGACACATGAAGGAGCCCTAGAAGCAACCGCAACAGAAAGCTTCAATCTTGACATTTGGTGGTAGAGGATCTATGATTGGCACAGCAGCTCCTTTTTTATGAAAAATGTCAAAGTAGCTTCCCAGGACTGCCAATTTAAATGGGAAAGCAGCTCTTCAAGGGGGAACATTCAGCACTCTTCGATTTATTTTAAAAATACAACTAAAAGGGTTATAGTACAGGTATACAAATTAACGGATATGACAGAGAGAGTAGATAGGGAGAACTGTTCTCTATAATACTAGAATATTGGGGGCAGAGGGTGGTTAACGAACCTGAGCTCCTTGGAGAAAAAGGTGGGTTATAAATGCAAGAAACAATCAAATAAATAAATAAATAAGCAATATATTTACCTTCCTCCTCTTCTTCTGAGTCTGTGTAACTCTTGTCTTCAATGAATCCTGAGCTTGCAGAGCTTCCTGTGCTTGCCACGCTCTCCAGGCGCCTCTTGATCAGTTCTGTTAAATCACTGATGTATGCTTCCAGCTCTTTCTCTGCAGGGTCTGGATTTTCCTGAGGCTGGAGGAAAGAAAGATCCAAAGAAGCTCTTTTCTTATCTCTCTCTCTCCATTCCCAGCAGTCATCACACCCTAATGTATAGCTGGATCAATACATGTTCCTGCCATTTTGCAGCTCATAGTTAAACTATGCAGCTGGCTTCCACAGGAGGCAGTGATAGCAATAGGTGGCTTTAAAAGAGGATTGGACAAATACTCCTGATGACTACCAGCCGCTATGGCTATGCTCTTCCTCTACAGCTGGGAGGCAGCAATGCTTCTGAACACCAGCTACTGGATACTACAAGAGGAGAGCACTCTTATGCTCGAATCTTGCTTGCCAGCTTCCCATTGGGACATTGGGCTTGGGTCCTGTTTGCAGGTTTCCAATAACTATCTGATTGGCCACTGGACTAGATGAGTCACTGATCTGATCCAGCAAGCTTTTCATTGGTTCTTATGCCTGAGGTGGTTTCATGGGGGGCGGGGGGTGGGCTTGAGCAAGACACCATTCATGGGCCCATTCCCTCCATGAGTCTACCTCCTCACTGAAGCCAGTCCAGGGGGCCCTTGCCAGTGGCCCTCTGCTGGGTGTAGGACCTCAAGTTGGGCTTTGACACCAGCCCTGTTGAGGTGGAACAGTAAATAGCAACCCATCCCACAGTCAAAGTGATTCAAGGCTGGTTATGTTCTTTCCCCCTGGAAAATAATCATAGCTAAACCACAATAATAAATTAAATCAGCTAGCGATCTCATCCCCTTTCATGACACTCAAATTCTTCAGCGAGTTGGTGCTCTCTAATGGTACAGTGAGACCCTAAAAAGAAAAGAAAACTGCTCTCCAAATCACCAGTGAAAAAGCCTGATTCCACCTTACCAATAATCATCTGACCACAAAACGACAAACAGGGTTCCATTTATTGGTCTTTATGCCATTACTGGGCAAGAGAGGGAAAGACGGTCTTTCAGGTAGCCTAGTCCAGAGTTGTTTACGGTTTTATATGTAAGTAACAAGACTTCAGAATTGGTCTGGTGTCTAATAGACAGCCAGAGATTTCTGTCAATGTGTGGTAATGCTTATGGAAAGAAGATCATCAATGCTTTCTATGCACAAATGTGAGATCAGTTCGAGCTAATCATAAACATGTCGCCCCCTCCCCTAAACTAAAAATAATAAAGAACCCCGTAACCCACTGTTATCTTCCCAGCACACTGGACTCGATTTCTTAGAGCAGTGATGGGGAACCTGTAGTTATACAAAGGCTGCTGGACACTAGCAGCCAACAATACCTGACCATGCTGGCTGAGTCTGATGAGAACTGGAGTCCAACAACACCTGGAAGACCAGTGGTGCCCCATCCCTTCTTTCTGCTCTTCAGAAATGGGAGTTTCTGTGTGCTTAGGACCATTTTTTGAAAGTGAATGGTTATTTAGTGTGGGGGTTTCTTTTTCATAAATATGGTTTGATTTAGAGCATAAATGCCATCCCATGGAGGGAAAAGAAAACCATGGAGACATGCAGCTCAACACTTCTCTTTCTTTGTTCTGCATGTTCTAGTCACAGGTCTGGGTTTTCCATGTCTGTGTTTAAGTGTGTTTCTTTTTGTCCTGGTGCTTTTCCTGTGAAAACCCATGCTTTACTGCTGAACAGGAGCAAACAGAAATTTGGTTTTATGAGGATTGCTATTTACAGTGGTACCTCTGGTTACGAACTTAATTCGTTCTGGAGGTCCGTTCTTGTAACCCGAGGTACCACTGTACTCTGATTCAGCAGTAAAACACAGGTTTTCCTGGTGAAAATGCCGGTACCAAGAAATAAAACCCTTCTCGGAAGTAGACCTGAAAAACTTGGACCTGAGTTTAGAAAGTGCAGTGCAAATCTCATGCACCCCCTAGAACAGGGGTCTGCAACCTTTAAGACAAAAAGAGCCACTTGGACCCGTTTCTGAAGGAAAAAAAACTGGGAGCCGCAAACTCGTCATTATAAAAATAACTTTTTTGTCACTTTTTTATTATTTCTTTGTTTGACCCCTCAGAATTACTTCTCCTCATAGAAATAAACATTAAATTAACAAGTTACCTTTTTGTGTGTGTGTTCTTCACTCCCCTTCAATGCAGTGACCAGCGTACATGCCCCTTACAATGTAGCGGGCGGGCGGAAAGGTGACGTCGGGACAGTGCGTGACTAACGCACGCACCGCCCCCATGCGACGTCACAGCCAGTACAGCACCCGCCACAGTGGGGAGTGTCGGGGCGCACAATGCGCCTCCTCCCCCTCGCTAGTATCTGCCCCAGAGCTGCGGCAAAGGTGTAAAAGAGCCACATGTGGCTCCGGAGCCGCGGGTTGCAGACCCCTGCCCTAGAAGATAAGGCTGTGATGGAATTTGAACAATACACCCAAAAGAATATACATAGCTGATGCTGTCTTCGATGCTGGCAGGGAAACAAATATTAAAGACAGGCTCAGAATTTTATAAGCACTCACAGTGGTTCTTCACTCATGAGCTTTGCTACTCATGGGACAAACATACATCCCTTCAGTTTAATCGTGTCTGAGGTGGGCTGCCTACCTGTTTTGTTTCATTAAGTGGTACCTGTACATTGTATTATGTACACATCGAAAGTTCACCTTACACCTCCCTCCCAAAAAACATTCAAAACATTTAAGGCACATTTGCTCTGCAGAAGAAATGGATATTAGTCTTTAGGTGTCCACAAACCTGCAGAGTCAGCTTTTAAGAACTACCTTATAGTGAATCAGACCATTGGTCTATCTATCTATGCAGCTCTCTAGGGTTTCAGAAAGGGATCCTTTCAAGGTCTATCTGGAGAAGCCAGGGATTTAACCTGGGTCATCCTGCATTCAGATCACACACTCTACCAGTGAGTCGCCTTTACTTTCTGAACAGACACAACCAGCCTTCCCCTCATTTTTTCAGACTTTCTCAGGAGAGAAAAACTTAAGCAGAGCTGCAATCAGGCTGCATCTGCTGCTTGGACAGTGTAATCCTATGCACAGATACCTGGGAGAAGGTACCATTGAATTCAATGGTTCTTACTTCAGGAAAACATGCAGAGGACTGCAGCTTCGGAATGCCATGCCTGTCTCCACCCAACCATTCCCAGGGCCTGTTTCTCCTCAGTTTTCCTTCTTTCACTTGGTGTCAGGAAGAGGGCAAAACAGAATTTATCTGGGCTTTTGGTAGGAAACAAACAAATGGCCTTTTAAAGGACAGCCAATTTCATATGCCTCAGAGGTCAGATATTCATCTTACCTTGCATGCGATGAAGTCTCCTCGTTTTCCTCGTAGGTAATTAGACAGATTTCCGTACTTGCAGTATTCTACAATGACCATCAAAGGACCTGCAAAAATGATCAAAGAAAAGTTTCTAACATGACCACATATAAAGGATGTAGGAATCATCACGTTTAAGAGAACATCCCTGTTGGATTCCTGACGGAAAATGAGATGCAGATAAAAGAACTACAGATTCAGGGGCAAATGGTGATCTGGTGTAAGGAAGTTACCAGGCTCTAAGTCGGGGTAGGGAATCTTTTTCAGACCAAGGCCCAGATCAAGAAATCCCCAAACCTCTTCAGGCCACGTAGAAAGAAGATGGGGAGAAGAGGTAAGATGCCGGGGGATATGGCAAGCCTTTCTTGTTCACGCTGCCTGCCTCACACCAGGAATTGTTCCCAACTTCTTGCTGGGTTTTTTTGGGAGGGGGGCAGAGCCCAGTTTCATTATATTTTTCCTGCTGCCTGCCCCACAGAAGGTTCAGGGGTTGTTCCTAAGATCTTGAGCATGGTGCGGGGAGCATAGTGCAGAGGCATAATCATCATTATTAGCATAATTACTATTGCTAATGATTATTATCATTATTTGTACAAGCCTATATTTCTGTTACTTTTCTTTTTCTGATCTTTTGGAGGTGGAAGCCATTTTTGTGTTAGCAAATTGGTGTGGAAATGGGATGAACTGAACTGATGGCTGGAAACATGAGAAACTGAGTGAACACAAAATGGACAGAGTCACCCATCCCTATAAACCCTCAATAAAAACACAGGTTGTCCCTGTGATTACGTGCCTTTCCATCTCTCTGACTCTCTTTATGCAGTCACGATTGAATTTTGTTTGCATTCTGTCATCTACCTTGACCTCCATATATTTTTTGTTGTACATCTGGATGTGAAACTCCAGGAATGGAAGCATGTCAAAAAACAATTGCTCTTGAATCACACCCATCTGCCAGCTTGTTTCTTCTGTATTTGGGGAGCCAACTAAGTATTGTTTAGTTTGCTATAATTGCTGTTGGTGTTCCAAGACACAGGACAATGTTTTAAGCAATTCCCTTTGTATTATAGTGAGAATCAGACAGCATCATTTTGAAGCCATCAGCTTGTACTCTGTGTCTGATGTATAAAAATAACAGCAAGAAAAATACCTCAGAAATGCCAGAAAATATGAACAAATGGGGTTAGACCACATGGAACGAGCCATTAATAGCCATCTCAAGCAATCAGCCTTTCAATGTCTAGAAACCTTCTCCAACACATAAGAGCTACAATTACATATTTGAATACTCAGAAAGCTGAATGCTTGCGTTCACTACAGCTAGCTTATAAAAGGGGCACCAAGACGATTCTCATGACCCAGTAAACTATTCTGCAGGGAGTGAGCAAATCCAGTGGTACTCTCAAAGCTTCAAGAAAGTTTGTGAACTCGGGCCCCTCACAATAGGTTCCCTTCCATTCATGTGTAATCTCTCTCTCTCTCTCTCTCTCACACACACACACACACGTTTGCCCTGCCTACAATTTTTTTGTAAAGTTTCCAACTTCCTCAGTGAGTGTTGGCAGAAATTGGTCAGTGGGTGGACTAGGGGTAAGCCATGGTGTGTCAGAGGTGGGGCCTGGTGATTTTTAGTAGAATAGGGATCTGTTGGTCAGGTCTGGTGGATCAGGGTGTAGGGTTAATGGGGGAGGTATAATAGTCCCAAGAGGTGCTACACACATTGTGCAGAATGAGGTGGTAGAACTATTAGCTGTACCACTTCAGACTGTGGATTGCACTTTTGAACTCCATTTCCCCACAACCCCCTTACTTTTCCTATTGATGGAAAACAAGCACCTCAGATAGATATTTTTGACATAACTGCCTCCCTGATTTGCTCACTTATTATATGCAGGGTGCCATATGTGTGAGAAGATAGCTCAAAAGCATGACCTGCTCTGCACTCTAAAGCAATACACTTCAGAATTCTGCCACATCATTCTGGGTAATATTTAGAATTTGCATCTATGGAGAAGTTTGCTTTTTGGCCATGTCATGGATCAGATCACTTGTGATGTGAGTTGTTTTTCCCTTACAGAAACAGATCTGAGTAAAAGAAAGAGATTGTAGTGGCTCACCTCCTGGCTTGGTGCAGGCACCCAACAGGTTGACGACATTCAGGTGGTGTCCAATATGAATAAGGATCTTCAGTTCAGACATCAAAGCCTTGCGCTCGTTGGTCGTTGAGCACTCTGCTTGAGATAAACAGGACAGAGCCATCTTGACACAACAGGATATTGTCAACGTGGGTGGAAAATCCTGTTTATACTCAAAACGGAAGCAAAACACCACCAACCACCATAGTGGAAAGGAAATGAATAAAGCCCTCCCAGGTTGCTTTGTGTGTGTGTGTGTCTTATTATTTATTCTCATTAGATTAGGAACGCCTTCCACCCAAACGTCCTGCCTTGGCCCTTACAACACCAAGTCCTCAGAGTAACTTCTCTTTTATCTGTGGAGTTGGGGTGTTGGTGGGGGGAGTTAACTGCCCTGCAGGAACTCTTCCTCTCCACATTTCCTGCTAGAGGTTGAAAGAGCTACAGCTGATGAAATGTCTCTCTGTGCTGCCAGTTACACGGAGAAGGGAGGCCTTTGAAGTTCTAAGAACATCTTCCCCAGTTGGGTGCCCTTCAGATGTTTTGGGCTGTAACTCCCATCATCCCCTGTCAGCACAAATGCTCCTGGGAGGGGCAGCCCAAAACGTGGAGCTATTCTTCTACTTCTTCTTGTTATTATTTCAGTTTATTACTCGCCATTCACTATAAGGTCCCAGAGCAGTTTTCAGTCATTTAAATCACAATATTAAGTAACAGTGTAAAACAAATTACAGTCACAAGACTAGGGCCTAGCAGGCACCAGGTTGGAAATCTGGAGGACACCAGTTAGGGAAGGTTTTTCTAATACAGCGTATGCTAATAACCTGGCAGCACAAAGTATCATCACAAAACCACTTAGCATCTTGCAAAAGACCCAAGTGGACTTTTAGGAAAGCTTTGTGGACCCTGGCTGTCAAGAATCCAGCACCTTTCCCAGAGATGTTTCCTGCACAATCCACATGGATGGTGAATTGTAATATGAAATTTTCCCACCTATGCTCCGCTGTGGGAACTGCCTCAAAAGCTGTTTGTTGTCAGAACTAACCCTTGAAGGAGACCTGAAAATGATGTGCAGCACAGTGCAAAGGTGCCTATCCAGATAGTTTTGGGAGGAAGTTCAACATTTAAAGGGGTTGGGTGCCCAGGAGAGGAGGCAGAAGATTGTGATGGTTGAGCTAGAGAAGCATTCCACAACTTGGTGCCCCTCCCCCCAGTCATTTTGGACTACAACTACCATTCGTCCTAGCCAGCATGGCCAATGGTCAGGGATGATGGGAGTTGTAGTCCAGGAACACCTGGACATCCACAGATTGGGGAAAGCTATACCAAGGTGTAGGGGGAGATTCTAAAGCAAAAGAGGCACTGAACTAACACCAGAACTAGTGGATAGGGAATGAAAGAATCATTTGCATAATTAGGCAAATGCACAGTTCCAAAAATATTTAAAAGTGCAACTAAAATATTTTTATAATGTATAACCTGACAGATGATTTGTTTGTTCATCAAGTTTCTGATATGTAAATGTCATTAGGAGGTACCATATGACCCAAGCTTTGGATAAGAAACACATTCCATTGTTTTAAACATGGTAAGCCTATTGCCCTTAATTTGCTCTCTTGGCACCACTCACTTTTCAGGCCCCTGAACTTCTCTCCATCCCCAAGGGCTGGGATCAAAGGTTTATATCCCATTTCAGACAATCAAATTCCTTTACGTTCTATGATCTCCTTCCCGCACGACCTACTTTCTAATGGAGGATGTCACTCCATTTATGCTAGGAATTCAAGACTGCATCGATGGCTGAGTGTAGAGTCCACATGTTATTCCCTCTGTGTAGACAGCCACTGTGCATCTGACAAATTGTTCCCATGCAGTAAGTCCACATTGTCTGTAGCCACTGGCAGGAAAGCTTACAACAAAGGTGGTTGGGCAGTGCTGTCCAACTTGCTCAACACTGACTAGCAGTGACTATTTCAGGTTTCAAACCAGGAATCTCTTCCCAGCCCTACCTGGAGATGCCAGGGATTGAACCTGGGACCTGGGAGTATAGGTAAATAACGGCTGGGTCGTGCATACGGGGCACACCCCCAAAAGGAGTGGGGCGTGCAGGGAGCTGCTCTCTGCCCCCAGGTCAGTCTTGACCCAGGGAAGGCGGAGCCTCGGCTGGGTGCTTTGTAGCTGCTCTCCTTCCTGACCTGGGGAAGGAGGAGTTGTGCCTGGGTGTGCTGGGCACCACAGCCGCTCTCTGCTTCTGGCTCAGGATTGACCCTGGGAAGGGGGAGCTGCAGCTGGGCCCACCAGGTGGGAGCAGAACATGCAGAGGGTGATCTTCATCCTATGTGTTCTCCAGTCCCTGCCATTGGCAGGGTGCAAGGGGGATCTTGGGAGGGCACTTGGTTCGTGCCCCTCCCAGATTGTGCGCCAAGGGCCACGGCCCCCATGGCTCCTCCCATGCTATGTTGCTGCCTAGGACCTTTTACACGCAAATCCGATGTTCTGCCAATGAACTACAGCTCTTCCTCAAGTAGCTCTGGGATCAGATCTGTAGGCAAAAGGAATGGAAGAGTACCTCAGGTGCACATTTATTTATTTGTTTTGTTTTGTTTTGTTCTAGCCGAACATTTTGAATGAATTACTTTCTGTCTCTCTCTTGTGCACCTTGAGTCTCCTCACTCCCTTCTTACATCTGACGTCTTCCCACTTTTCTTCGTGAAACAGCTCTGGAGCCAGAGGGTTGTATCCAATCTGTGCAGGCAGGGGACAGCTGGGTATATTTGCCCTGGGCCTCAGAGAGCTAAGCTGGCTGGGGGGGCCACCAGGGACCAGCTGCTTTTCTGTTTGATTTTATTTTAACAAGACCCCCCCCACCCCAGGCCTCAGACAAGCTCTGCATAGGCCTGCAATGTAGAACTAAAGTCACTCAGCAGTAATAATTCTGCTGGTGCATATGTCACACAAGTGAATGTACAAGCAGGTTGCTGATAACTTTGTTGCACATCTGTGAAAAACGAGCTTCTTCTAGTGCTGCTCTTGCATTGGATTCCTCTTTTGCGCAACATAAAAACAAGCAAGATTTGGATACAGCCCAGAGATATTGAGGTGAGGGTTGGCCTAACTGTACAATCCATTAAGGACAACCAGAACCAAGATATATCAAATTTAATATATCTAAAGTCATTTTGCTATGTTAAATATTTATTTACATATTACCAAATAAGGATCGATAGTGCTGGTCAGTTTTCTAGGGCCCTTTGCACTTGCTGTCCAAAACACTAGAAGGCAAGCACAAGTTTGCATCTCACTGACCAAATGGGTAGGTTGCCAGAGGGGTACAATTGCCCCCACAATTAGTTGACACTATACAAGTTGGAGGACTGCAGACGGATGTTTCCTCTAAAATCCTGCTGAATGTTCAAGGAAAGGTCCTGGGATCACTAAGAGGGGCCTGCTCCATATTTGAGGCGACTCTCAGCAAAGCGACCTCTGTTGGGCTCTCACATGTTGGTGGGACCCCAGTCTTGGGCTTCTCTGGTGGCAAGGGCAGTTTCCACCTTGTCTCAACATAGTGCCACTCCGCCCCGCTGGAAGTTGCCATTTAATTTCTATATCAGGGGATTTATGGGAAATTTAAGATACAGCAATGTAGACATAGCCCTTCAGCCCCAGTGACCCCAGCTGTGGTGCTGGGGTTCCAGGAGTTGTCCAGGACTGCTGACCCCAGACCTGGTCCCTGGTGTGGACATCACCACACTGCATTTTCCCATCCCCTATTCCACATAATTCACAGACGGGGATGTGAAGACAGACAATGCAGTGATGTCAGCACAAGAGTAAGGGAGAGGGAGGGAGGAAGTCAGTGCTAATCTGCTGTTTCCAGCAGTGGCTCCACGTTTCTGGTTATGTGGAGAAGGAGTGAAGAGCAACACAGGGCTACCATTTTCAGCAGTGATCCCTTCATGTGGAAAATCAGCCAGCAACGGAGAACTGGTTGGCCATATGCTTTGGGAGAAGCCTTCTGAGATTCTAAGAGAAGTGTACCTTTAAGCATTTTAACAGCAACAGTTTTGCAGGTTGAAGATTTATCTATGCCAAAAGCAGATGCCTCCACCACTTTCCCAAAAGCACCATGACCCAGAGTTTTACCTAGAGAAGCAAGAGGAAAGAGTGAGCCAGGCAGAACCGTCAACAGTTTGCATCCGACAGAAGCAAGGCTGTGTGTAGTATGTGCAAAGGAAAAAAAACAACCTAGAACAAAACTATATCACGGTAACCTGAATTTTGCGTCAAGAAATACTGCGTTCATCAACCTGAATAAATTATGCAAAACTGAACAGCTTTGCATAATCCCACTTATTCAGCACAGTTCACTTCGCTTTTCCTTCTTCTGCTAATCTTGGGGTAGAACTAGGATCTATGCAGGGAACAAACCCTCATCCCCAGGATTACCATTTCAGATAGAATCTTTGTAACTATAAGGGGGAAACTTGCTTTATTATCTTTAAACAAAAACTAAGAGTTTAAGGAAGCTGAATTCTACTCTCAAGATCACAATCTGTGCCGTTTTTTGCAACTGCACAGAATTGACATGCATACACACAGCCCTGGATACAAGAGAAACATGCACTGCTTGCTGTGCAAGAAGAGCAAAACATTGGAGTCTTGGTCACATGCAGCAGCCACCAGAAATCCATCAAAGGCCCATATCACTCCAGAACATGTGCATAAACTAATCAAAGTTTATGGACATATGCAGTGCTTTTTTTCTTTTTAAAAATGTTTAGGGGTATGCGTCCCCCTGCGTCCCTCCAGAAAAGAAGCACTGGACATATGTGATGTAAGATTTTTTTCTATAAAAAAAATCTTCAGAGGGAACATACATTGCAGAGATAACAGACAGGGTAGGAGTTAGCTCTCAAGAGTGCAGTTATTCCAGAATTCAGGTTGCATTCAGACAACCTTGCAAAAAAATGTGCTTTGTTAATCGTGAATTTTCCTACAGTGCAGATTGTTAAACCAGGATAAATTCTGAGGTCTGTTTTCCTCTACATTCACTGCACCACAAATTATTGCTCTCATGAAAAACTTGCAAGAAAAAGAATTCTCTGCTATGCCTCAGCTGAGGGCGCTTGCTTGATAGAGGCAATGACATTTCTTCTGCAGAGCTGAGTTTGAAGATGTTTTGAAGCATATTTCTATGGTGGCCTGCACATCCCCTGCTTTAATGAACCCATCAGTTCCTGCAAAGATGATGGACTAAATTGGGAGCCATCAAGTTGGTCAACATGCCTACCAGGAACAGTGGCTTCTAAAACAGAATCTGTAATTCAAGATTCCTCAATGCAAATACTACTAATGTGGACAAGTTTCCTTGAAAGACAGCTTGCCTGCCTCTACCAACCCTCTTCCAAGATTCATTAGCTGCGGAGGGGTGCATACTTGGGTGTATATTCAATTACTTCAGAGCAATGAAAAGGCTTGACAGATTTGGACTAGGCTTTGCATGGCACTCAGAGCACCCTGCAGACCAAGTTTAGTCAACATGGTGCCCTCAATATGTTGTTGGACTGCAATTCCCATCAGCCCAGCCAGCATGTCAGGGATTATGTGAATTGTAGTCTAGCAATATCTGGAAGACACTGCATTGGCTATTCCTGCTTATATGATGGCCCGGTCAAATCCTTTTATACCATCTTGGGGTCCTGTAGCTGAAAAATCAATATGGAAAGCAGTTACTTGAAGGGTGAAAATTTGAAAACCACCATACAAGAATATCATATCTAACCGAGGTATCAGCAGAACGTAGATTGGGATCTAGCAGTAGATATCTGAGTGATTTGCAGTAGACTACCAAGCGTTTCTGACTCCCCATTACTTAATAGTGGCAACATGAAAAATGTCCCCCTTTTCTAAATTGCACTGCCGAGATGGATAATCATAGAAGCATAAAATTGTGGAGTTGGAAGGGACATACCCCTTCCAATCTAGTCCAACCCCCTGCAATGTAAGGGTGAGGAGAAAGGAAACGAGGAGCAAGGAAATCAGGAGTACATTTATGTTTTACAGGACTGTGAGGTCACTTCTGGTAGTGAAATAAAACCCCTGGGCTGAGCATGTGCTCAGAAGTATTTTTCCCACCCCGTCCACAATTTTGCACACAGCTCTGACTGGTGGACCTTGGGGTCCTGGCAAAAGTGTGTCCTACAAGCATGAAATCTATCCACTCCTGACCTTGGCTGTGGTTCTCAGAATGCTCAAGCTCCTGCTTCTGAAGCTTGACATGATACACATCACTTACCCAGCCGCAGACGGTCCCTTGGGAATTCCCACTTGCTGCTGTCATATGGGAGACGCTCGCACTGCTCATCAAGCGGCATCTCCTCGGGATCCATTATGATTGACAAGTATCCTGTTTTAATATCTGTGGCATCTGGCTGCAAAGAACGGAGGTGGGGTGTGGGAATCCCCAGTTAATGTGGCAAATGGCTGCTGGATCCAAAACTAAAGGAGAGGGAGTCTAACAAAAGGAGCACACGACTGGCCCAAAATCTTGGCTTCGCTTCAGTTTGCGTTCTGTTCACATGAGCACAGACTTATAAATATAGATAGGTGTTCACTTAGTTGCACCTGGCAAAGTTTAAATAAATACATCTCCAGGCAAGTAACCAGAGATGACTTTTTTAATATGCTCAATAAATATTAGATTAAATAACTGAGAAGATTAAATATTTGAGATGATTAAATATTTAAGATAATGACAGTAACAATGGTGATGATTAGAAATATATAATTTAATATATTATATACTATTAATAAACATTAAATAAAAAATACAATGTTTTTTTTTATTTAAAAAACCCCAATAAATATACTTAGCTGAAAAACCAATATTAGAATCATAGAGCTGTGGAGTTGGAAAGGGCCCATAGGGTCATCAAGTCCAACACCCTGCAATTGATTTGGAGCACACATAAAGAAGCCATGCTGATTGCCAACCCAATGCATGTGAGAATAGGTAAAGGTAAAGGTACCCCTGCCCGTTTGGGCCAGTCTTGCCAGACTCAAGGGTTGTGTGCCCATCTCACTCTATAGGCCGGGAGCCAGCGCTGTCCGCAGACACTTCCGGGTCATGTGGCCAGCGTGACAAGCTGCATCTGGCGAGCCAGCGCAGCACACAGAACGCCGTTTACCTTCCCGCTGCTAAGCGGTCCCTATTCATCTATTTGCACCCGGGGGTGCTTTCGAACTGCTAGGTTGGCAGGCGCTGGGACCGAGCAGCGGGAGCACACCCCGCCGCGGGGATTCGAACCGCCGACCATGCGATCGGCAAGTCCTAGGCGCTGAGGTTTTACCCACAGCGCCACCCGCATCCCCACATGTGAGAATAAAAATGTTTTAACCATGGCACCTAAAAGTCAGTAAATTTGCTGCCAAGCTGAGGAATTTGCTGAGGAATGTATTTCATAAGTGTGCCACCACAGAAAAGGTCCTGTCCCAATCATCATCTGTCTGCTTTTTGGAGGTGTGAATATTGGGAGCTGTGCGTCAGATGGCCGTTTCAGAAAAGGGGCAGGTTCACAGGGGAATAGACAGCTCTTCAGATACTCTGACCCCAAACAAAAACTCAGACCAGGGGCAGGAAGCACTTCTCATCCCGATGACTGCATTCTGTAACAAGTACCCTGGGGGGGGAATGCCAGCAGGGGGTGCAGCAACAGCTGTGGCTTGTATCTTTGTACAGCAGGCTCTCACAAAAGTTGGAGGTTTCTACGCCCACAGGCATCTCTCCATCACCAGAGTTGAAGGACATGTTCTAGCTAGGCAAAAGCACTCAAGGAGGTCACAGAACAGTGCCAGTAAGGAGGATGGCCTAGGGAGAATCTCAAGGGCCAGGTGGAGAGGGTTGGAGGGCCGTATTCCACCCCAAGGCCTGAGATTCCCCACCCCTGCCACAGATCATTATCTGCAGAATAGCTGCCTATTCCTGTTCAGAACAATTTTGGTATCTAAAAGAAAAGCCTGGGACATTTCAGAGATCCTCTTACTTTTCTCAGTTTCCGTATGAAGAGGGTGAGGAGGAGCCAGAAGAGGGTGGCTGCTAAACCAGTGCAAACCAAAATGATTACTTCAATGTTGGACTTTTCCTCGGAGCCTGGAAAAAGAAATACATGATTCACTTACAGCAAAGTGTTTCCCACGGCACTATGCACAACATTCCAGAAACCACACATGTGTTCAGACACAATGATCACCGCTGCAGGTAACTAAAAAGAACACCTTGTAAAATTAAAATGGTCATTGGTGTAGCAAACCAAGGGATTGATTTCAGATGGCTAGATTGGATGTTGCTTGGAGTCACTTTCATACAGTGGTGGAACACCAACCATATATGGATTGGGAGCACGCAGGAAGGAAAAATATTGGCAGGTGGCAATTTAAATTACTTCTCAGTTTGCAGGGAAGGTATGTGTGTTGGGGTACTGGGATTATTCATGACTACTAGGCGTGTGGTGGCTGTACTCTGCCTCCACAGTTGGAGGCAGCAAGTCTTCTGAATAGCAATTGCTGAAAACCACAGGAAGGGAGAGTGCTCTTGTATTCGAATCCTGCTTGTTGATTCCTCACAGGCATCTGTTTGGCCACTGTGAGAACAGGATGCTGGACTAGATGGGCCACAGGCCTGATCCAGCAGAGGCTCTTCGTATGTTCTTGGAAATGGAAACTGATACTGGCTGGGCCAGTATGTTGGAGGTTTCTGCATCACTAAGGGACAGCAGATGCTCTGTTGTATCCTATGGCCTCTGGGTCACCCTTCCAGGGGCCACAGGACTGCATCCTAAATAAACCTATGGAGCAAGAAACAAAAGCAATGAAAAACAGCCCAATGAAGACTGGGCATGCTCAATAACTACAGTATGGAGGGTATGAGGGAGTAGTGATCCAGAAGACCAGTGTGAGAATATGTGCGTTGGGTGGGGGTAGACTGGAATACCTGGAGGAGAGCATATCTGGCTGGTACGAATGACCAGAAGCACTCCTGCTAGGAGGCAAGGATATTCCGCAACATTTTGTTGCAGGCCCAGCTCATCCTCACTGAAGCTTATCTAGGGTATCTTTACAATGCTTGACTGAGCCTGTCAAAGGTTTTTTCCTCTTGCAATCTCACCTTCTATTTTAATAAACGCCTGGGTGCTGTCTTGGCCCATTTCATTGATGGCCTTGCACTTATAGTGACCCTCATCGTCCTTTTTCACTCGCTCAATCACCAGGGTGTTGTTTTCCATGGAAATTCCTGAGGGATGGATTGAAAAGTAGTTTTAGCACGTACTAGAGTGTTTTCATGGAAGCATTTTCAACATATAATTGGCATCTAGAGTTTGCTGGCAACATCACACAAAAGTGCCTGGCAGTGTGAAGGAACACAAAATCAAAGGGAGCTGCCTTATTCTGGGTCACACCAATGGATCATCTTGCTCAGGGCCGTCTGCTCTGACCGGCAGCAGCTCTCCAGCATCTCAGGAAGAGTTTTGCTCTCTCAGCTTTCTGAAACCCTGTTAACTGGATGTATTGGGTATAGGATCATATGAGGCCTGCTCTCTCCTCACCCCAACCCACAATGTGTACTACATCTAAGGCATAAAATAGGCCTCAGGCTTGCAGGAGCCTGCTGAAAAAAAGCACCAAATTGAAGAAGAGAGCTCAGGAATTTGTTTTGAATCTCAAAATGAAACTGAGCTCCTAGTCCTTCCACACAAAAATCCATTCCAAGTTTTCTTCGTTTTGGCAGCATAATTTAGAGCAGCAGGGGAGTCATTTTGCTGCAGCTATGGTTAGAAAATTGGGATTCAGGAATTCTTTGCCAATCTATTACAATCTGTATTGGATGTGAAATTGCTTTTATGTACAAAATTGTTTTTAAATTGTTGTTATATATGGAATTGTTCTTTAATTGTTATTGTAGTTTCTTTGTTTTTCTTGTTAAAATCACTCTGAGCTTTTTATAGGAAGTGATTTGCAAATAGGATTAAATAAATACAAAATAGTCCCGTCCCGTCCCGTCCCGTCCCCCCCCCCGGAGCAAAAGGTTACTTTTTGTCACTTTCTCAGTGCATTCTGATGCACTCTGAAAAGCAACCAAAAACTTTAAGGTGCATGAGGTTCTCAGAGCCAGGCTAGCTCTCCAAATGTTTGCTGAACTACAACTCCCACCAGCTGCAGCCAGCATGGCCACCGATCAGGTACTATGAAAGTTATAGTTTGGGCCCTTTTAGCTAAGAAAAAAAGACAAGTAAGAGGTGATGTGACAGAAGTTTAAAAATTATGCATGGAATGGAAAAAGTGGATCGAGAGTTTTTCTTCCTCCCTCGTATTGCTACAACTCGTGAACACCCAGTGAGGCTGAATGTTGGAAGATTCAGGACAAATAGAAGGAAGTACATAGTTACGCAGTGCATAGTTAAACTATGGAACTGGCTCCCACAGGAGGCAATGATGCCCACCAACCTAGCTGACTTTAAAAGATGATTAGACGAATTCATGGTCCTCCAGCCATGGTGGGTATGCTCTGCCTCCACAGCTGCAGACAGCAATACTTTTGAATACCAGTTGCTGGAAAATGCAGGAGGGGAGAGTGTTGTTGTGCTCAGGTCCTGCTTGTAGGTTTCCCACAGGTAACTGGTTGGCCACTGTGAGAACAGGATGCTGGACTAGATGGGTCACTGGCCTGATCCAGTTATGTAGTTAAGTAACATCTGGAGGGCCACCCATAAGCCACACATGCCTTAATAGAACTCAGTGAAGGAATGGCTGTTCTAGAAGATGTAGTTTCAATGAAGGACCATTCTAAATAAGATGGGACAATATGTTTAGTCTGTCATACCTCAACATTTGGCCATATTTTATCATGACCAAGAAACAGAAGGTACAGACTACAGAGGGGGTTGTGGGCATGATTCTCAGTGGCTGGAGTAAGTGTCCGTTGTTAGAAGAAGAGTGAATTTATGACTGTAACATGGTGTGAACCCTTCAGATATTTTGTTATATTAAGCGGTAGGTATTAAAATGTATGAAATGAAATTGGCAGGGCAGCTCCTGGAGACGCTGCTGCAGTGAGCACAAGCCCTCCCCTCCATCCGGACGTTGCGTTGCCCCGGCCCCCACTTACAGGGATCGTGCTGTGGGTGGGCCCCACTCTTCCAAATTTCCTTACATCAAGGAAGGCCTCTCTGTGTTCACATACTTCACCCTCTGTAGCGATGGAAGCTTCTTACAAGCACTATGGAAAAGCCCATCGGCCTGTGCAGACACCAAGCAAAGCCTTCTATCTTTAATTTCCCTGCTAATGCAGGGGATTTCTAAGTGAATCTGTTTTGCTAAGGAGGTATCATCACCAAGCAGGTAAAACCCACTGGGACTGAAGGGGGATAGGGTTTAGATCTGTAACGTGTCCTGCCTATGAATACGGCTGTTGTTAACATAAGCTCTGCGTGCAAATTTCCATGCAGAATGCTGAAATATTTACCCTGAGGTGTCCCCCCCACTCCAGATATTTTATTCATGTTTCCATTGGCTGGATGAGTTACATGCTTGTCCCTCTGGAATTATTTATGAAATTTCAGGAGCTGCAAAGGGTTTCTGCCCAGAACAGCCCGATCTGAATTATATATCCCTTTCTGCCTAACCCAAGAAGGAAAATTAAAGACACAGGGGCAGCCACTGATGAGGAGCAGAGAAAAATATGCATCTTTGCAAAACACAAATTAATCAAGCCTTAGTTTGAGACATGGGTGGCAAATGTCTCTAAAGGATGAATGTTCTAAGACCAACAGAGGCTGGTCTTAGCACCTTCACGACCCCTAAAAAACACATACCTTATTCCAGCCCTGGGACAAGTACTGAACAAATCTGGGAACTTTTGGGAACTGACTTTTTAAGGAAAGGGCTGGTGCTGTGATGTTTTCATTGCAATAACCTGTATCCTTAAAAGATGATAGGTAGATAGATGATAAATACAGATAGATAGATTTAATTCTATTAGCTTTTAATTGCTTTTTAATAATGGTTTTTCTGTTTTTTAGTTGTTTCTATCTTATCTGCAAGCTACCCTGAGTCCTGGTCTGGGGAAAATGTGGGATATAAATAAATAAAATAATAGTAATACTAGTATCAGCCCTGCAAGTTTTCAGCCTCAACTGGAGAAAAGCTGACTCCTTCTCTGGGTTATGGTTGTGATGGATACCTCTCAGATAGCAACTGTTACAACACACACTCCCCAGAGCAGTGTTAATGTATAAAAAGAAGATTGTGAAGGGCAAATGACCATATGTCTCCTTCTCTCATGCATCCACCCCTTTCTAAAGGTCAGGCAGACTAGCTGAAATGAAAGGGGCAGTTAGGACTCGCTCGCCAATGCAGCATTCAAGTTACTTCTTAGTATATTTTGCACTGCATATGATATGGGGCTTATCCATACTTCCATTTGCTCCATTGCTTCCCCCCCGGGGAAAACCCAGAGTTTAGTGCTGAAACAGAACAACTGGCAACCAGGTTTTCCATTCATTTCCATTTGCTCCAATTTAGCACTAAAGACAGAGTTTTTCTGGATGAAAGTGGCAGGGCAGGGGCAAAGCCACTTATACCTGTGCTTTCTAGGCATGAAACAACTAGAAGTATGGACGAGCCGTAAGTTAAGTCCATCCCATCAGATGCTTCACACAATCCACACTCATTAAATTGGGGAGACTCATGAAGCCAGGATTTCTCATCAATCCGCCAGTATCAGGACAATGACACTATCTGAATTGAAGTGAACAGGTGTGGGTTCCTGGATGTGGCCTGCACTATAGCTAGCATGCTGAGCATCCCAGAACTATCACAATTGCACAGAAGACTTTTCCTCATCTCAGACCAAGAGGACAAAATAAGCAGAACATCAGGAGTAATATTAACTGTGTTGTCCAGCAGTTAAAAGAATGAAACCTGCTGTTCTGATTTCTTTCTTATATAGTGGTGGGGCTGGATAACTTTCTTTCTTTCTTTCTTTCTTTCTTTCTTTCTTTTCTTTTCTTTCTTTCGTCATATTGTCATGATTAAAATGCATTTTGTATTTTTTACACATGGTTTTAGTAAGTTGCCAACCCTAATAAGCAAAAGCACTAAGGATGACTTGTATATTTGACAACCTAGTAATGTTTGCTAGAGACACTTATGCTTATGATATATCCCTGTATAATGTTTTTTTTTAAAAAAAATATGGATCAAATCTCATTTTTCTACTCTATCCTTTTATTTTTACAAGTTAAGTAAGCCATGTTTCTAACTCAGTTATGAGCTATGCAGAGCAGCATATTGCCTACACTGACTGGCAGCAGTTCTCCAGGTTTCAGATGCGAGTGTGTCTCTGATGTTAATCAAAGGAAAATACCACTACAGTAATCAAAGGTTGGAGAAACAGAGGCTCACCTGAGGCAGGAGTAATTGGATAGCCATTTTTCAGCCAAGCAATTGTGGGTTTGGGTGTCCCATTCACTTTGCACTCCAGAACAATTTTCCCACTAACATTAACTTCGAAGTCTGTGAAGTTCTCCATAATGTAAGGCACAGTCTTAACTGCAAATATAAGGAAGCAATGCTTTTAAGGACCACATATTCACCAAAGACCTGCATTTCCATCCTTATACCAACACAAAGTCTCTAATGCATGGAAAGCAGAAAAAGAAAGAAAGAAAAGTGGAAAGGATACAGAAAGATCACATCAATAAAAACACAGCACAGCTTTAAATCCAACCAAACTAGGAATGAACAGGTGGATGAGGCTATCCTCCAAAATTCAGAGGAATATGGTATAATAGAAAGTAGCTCTCGTGGTTCCAGATAACATGGCTGAAGCTTATAGTAAGTACTTTTACTCAGAGGACGTCCTCAGGCCACAAATTCAGCCCGGGTGTCAGTTTTATCACATGCTCACAGGAGGTGGTCCTGAGCCAAATATTGGGGCGACAAGAATGCAGAGTCAGTTTTGTCCTGTAAAAACAAGAGTGAAGATGACCACCACCCTAAATTAATGTATGATATGCTGAAAGTATCAAGGACAGGTGCCAGGAAGCATTATTTACTTCTCCTACCAGTAATTGCCAGACAATCTAGCATAGTTGTCTATACTTCTCATCCTTTCTGCCTCGACCATTGTATTTTAACCTCAGAAACATGGCTGGTGCCAGGGGTTGGTATGGTAGGACACATGCCAAGGGCCCAAAGCCCAGCAGGAGCCCCACTAATAAGAGCCCTGTGCACCTGCGTCTCATGTTTACCACTGGAACCTACTTGTTCACCTGCCTCTTCCTCTGCCCTGTCAACAGCTGAAACTGGCACTCCTCAAGAAGACTAGTCGAGATTTGAAAGTTTTCTTTTCCTTTTCCTTCTCCAAATAGTATCACCTTTATGCATTCATTTGGGTCATATCCACACCATACATATTTAAAGCACATCTAAACTACATGGCTTACCCCCAGAGAATCTTGGGTACTGTAGTTTACTGCTCACAGAGCAACAATTCCCAGCCCTCTTTAACAAACTACAAATCCCAGGATTCTTTAGAGGAAGCAATGTGCTTTCAAGGTATGGTGAAGATGTGAACTTTGTGGATTTGAAATGTGGATGTGAACTGTTAGTTTTATACCAAATTATCCGGTATAAAATTTTCTGTTTGAAATATCAGGATCGCCCTCTGTCTCCCAAACAGTTCTAATGTCAGCACAAACGGTGTAAGAACACAATGAGAGCCATGCTAGGTCAGGTTAGACATCCATCTAGCCCAGCATCCTGTTTTCAAAGTGACCAACCAGATACTTGTGTCCTATGGACTGCAGCAATACCTCTCCCACCCTGTCCCACCCCACCCTCCAGTCAGGGTTGATATCATACTGAGTAGGCAGAGCTGAGTCAGATCAAGTCCATCCAGTTCTCACACCCAAGTCTTAATGGTGCACACCATGTTGGTTTTATAGGATTAAGAGACCTGTCGCCTTCGAAATGTTGTTGGGACTACAGCTCCCAGTAAATATTGTTATCCATCAGCCATGTTGGCTGTGGATGATGAGACAACATCTGGATGGCTACAGGTCCCCTACTCCTGCTTTAGCCAAGGTGGCACAGCTCACGATGGCTCCTTAACAACGGAATGATTGAGCAGCCTAAACTTTTTCAACACTCTGACAGAGAAAATCTCCAACTGCTTAAATATATATATAAATAAATCCACCTGTACAGCTACAATATTTTGGTTCAAGTGAATGACGGACACAGCTCTTTGAAGTAAAGTGTTCTGAGGCACCTGGCTGCAGATAATAACATCCTGACAGGGAGAATGCTGTTGCTGGAATTGGATTTTCCGAAAAAGCTGGAATTGGATTTTCCATTTGCTCTGCTGGAGAAATTCTCTCTGACTCAAAGAACGTCACAGCAAATCAAGTGGCCAGGTAGAGAGAAGCAGCTCTCATTTAACCTTGCTTGTCACATTTTAATCATTCAGATAATTGTGGGGCTGCACTTCACTTTTATATATTTTATTATTTGTTCTCTTACATCTATATCCCATCTTCTTCCATCATGGAATCCAAGGCAGTGTACATGTTGTTCTCAGAGGTCTCCCATCCAGACACTCACCAGACACTCACTTACTTTGCTTCAGCAGGGAGGTGGCTTCATGGTCCTTCAGGCTGGGCACTGGGGACATTTGCTACAGTCCTGTATTGTAGCTGGCATGGAGGAATTTGTTTGGGAGCCAAGACTCTCTGTTGACTTATGAACTTGGGAGAATCACCCGATTTTCACAGTCCCCCCCTAACTAGCATAAACCAAATGGTCACCAGGGTGCAACTGGTGGCGGTGAAGGACACCCATTCCTCCTTTCTTTGAGGTCAAGTGGAGAAAATCTTCACTCACTAATACCATGCCTAGAAAGATGGCACAACTGAGATGTGTAGAATTTCTTTTTTCTTGGTATGTTAAGAAATCTGACAAGGACCTGTTGACCAGCAGGAGTCTTCTATAGGCTTAGATAATCATGAACATTCCTTAAAATCACAAATCAAGTTTTAGAAATTGCAAGATGTGAAAGAAATAATCTGGATCTCCCTTTATCTGTCTCCTAATGGTTTCTTTGGATGGTATCCAACAAAGTACTTTTCGTTGCACGATGAACTTCCCTTCCCTCTCTTCTCCCCATGCACCTCCAAATCTATTCTGAGGGTTCCCTCAACCTTCCAGATTAGAGAGGGGCATGGGGGTACATGGGCAGAGGAAAAAGAGGAAGAAAGAAGCTTCCATTCCACAAGTGGAAATTATTGTGCTAGTGAATGTACTTTGTTGGATGCCACCCTTAGTCTTTATCATAGTCCACGGCCATATATTTATTCCTTCAATTATGAGGCTAATTCCAACATGCTCTTTTGAAAATCAGAGCTATGGTTTTCAGACCTTTAGCATACACCATGAAATGCACATGTGCTTTATGAAGGCCTTGAGGTTCAGAGCTCTTGTGAGATTTCAGTGAGATCTCATGTGATCTTGCCAGTGGTGGTGTGAAGCTACTCCTTGGTGTTCCACCGCTCAAGGGTGGGAGGGCACTGCTCAGAGATATCTAGATGGCCATTCTGGGGAACAGGTTACTATACTAAATGAACCTCTGGTCTCATCTATCAAGGGGTGCTCATATGTTCCTATCTATTTGTTTCCACACTAAAGTCTAGAGCCACACAACTTGTGACCCACCAAGCCAAATACAATATATCAGACATCTATTGAGGTTGACCTTGACAAAACCTCTTACTGTTTTTGTTCTGTTTGTTTTTATATTTCTACTGCTTGTCTGGGATTTCAGAAAAGTGAGACATGCACTGTGCAAAGCACCACCTCCTGTTTCAATCTTTCCACATTGAGTTTCAGTGAATAGTCTTGAGTTCTAATATTGTGAGATAATGAGAAAAACTTGTGCCTGTCCACCTCTTCCCTATATCACATATAATTTTATGCACCTCTGTTGAATCCCTCTCAACCTGAGTTCTTTCTACTAAAAAAAACCCCTAATGTACCTTTTCTTCATAGGGGAGCTGCCCTTTTCTGAACATTTTCCAATTCTATGACATCCTTTTTGAGATGAGGCCACTGTGTACTAGAATGATACACAGTAGTCCAGCTATTCCACAGATATGCATAATGATGATATTTGTAGTTTTATTTTCAATCCCTTGACCTGCCGAGGTATGTCCCTGTTCAACAATGTTCCCTTGGGAAATCTGGCCACCCTACCAGACTCACCTTTGACACTGAGCATGGTGTTTTTCTCCAGCCCCTCAGTGCTATTTGGGTGGCTTCGAGCTCTGCACCTGTATAGGCCAGCGTGGGCCTGCGAGACATTCTTAAGGCCCAACGTCAAGTAGATGGAATAGTTGTCCACCTTCTTCTGCATCAAAGCATCAGGAACGGCCTGCAAGGTGGGGTTGTACCAAGAGAGGTGGTTGTAGATGTACTTGGAGGACTTGCAGGTCAACTGGACATTGCTTGCTACAATGGCTGTGATTTGTGGCTCAGTCTGTAGTTGGGATGGCACATCTGGAAGGGGGGGAAAGGAGGACACTTGTAACCATGCTTGAAATGCAATTGCGACGATGGATAACTTCTTGTTTTCAAATGGCAAAAAAGAAGTGGCACACAGGAAGCTGACTCAGACCATTGGTCCATCTAACTCAGTATTGGCAACACGTACAGGCAGTGGGTCTCCTGGGTCTCAGCAGGCAGGAGTCTTTTTCCAGCCCTGTTCACTCCAAGGACTGAACCTGGGACCTTCTGCATGCATAGCTGATGCTCTGCCACTAAGCTATGGTCTTTACCAAATGAAGTGCATATAGACTAATGTAGTTTGACCTGAACAATGCTACAAATGGGAGGGGACAGGGAAACTGTGTGTGTGTCAGTTGCCAAACACTCTCCCCAGCCTCTGACAATAGTTGCTCACCCTCTACGTGGATGATGTGGTATTTGCGGCCTGCTGCCATCTGTTGCACCACTGGGTATCGCTTCTGGCAACTGTTAGGAGACAAATTCCCCTCACGCCAGCTGCTGGGGGGCAATTCAACGGGCCAGGCCTGAGACTGATTCTAAGGAGTCTTCACTCAGATCCACTCCCAGGATTTAAAAGCTGGTGTGGTCTCCCCTGATGCAGCAACTCTGTGGGGGTTGTACCCACTTGATGTATGTCATGGGTCAATCCCAAAACTGGCCTTGACCCCTCCAGCAGGTGGGCTGGAGGTGATGGTAGCTAGCCCAGTGCCAAGCCTAACTCACTCACATCTGTCATCAATAAGCCTGTGGCCTAATATTAACCCATACGATGTTGTTGGTGGTCTTTGGTTTTGCTGAGATGTCCTGATGGGGGCAGGTTCATGGCACCTGGGCATGCAGCCAGGCCTTAACCATTTTTTATAGTTCGAAATTACCTGGCAATTATCCTCACAGCTACTGAACTGAGACTAATACATTTTCCACACACATAGATTTCTCTGTTCCCTTTTTAGGATTGAAACTAACAGCAGACTGGGCATTCACCATTTCTTCTACCTAAAACAGGAGTATGGAACCTCAAGCCTGGGGGTCAAATGCAACCCTCTAGGCTTCTCTATCCAACCATTGGCTCTTTCTCCAGACCATGTTTGCCCCAAGACACCTCCATTGCTCTGCTCATTTTTGCCTCTGGTCCCACCCACCACTATCATGCAGACCCCTGGAAGATTGCCCATGGGGGAATGTGGGCCTCAGGCTGGTAAAGGTTCCCACCTAAGACATAAAACCCTTCTGTGTTGAGTCATTTTAGTCATCTATCCCAGAAAAGACCATGGCACAACTAAAAACCTTGCTCACTGCTTTGTAGAATTTCCCTGCTAAGAAAAAGGTATTGTTTCCTGGTCTAAATTTGGATTTTGAGTTATTTTCTTGCGATTAACAAGCAAGTTTATGGCTTGCTCCTCTAAAATAAAACACTGAAGTTAATAAATTCACTATTAAAGTCAAGCAATAACTATATGATAAAAGCTCAATGAAAAAAGGTACAAAGAATTCAATCCTATATTCACTTACCTGGGAGTAAGTCTCACTGAACTCAATGGAGCTTACTTCTTAGTAGTTATATATAGGACTGCACTGTAAAGTAATACTTTATTTTTATGACTTTTCAACAGCCCCATGTGTTTGATTACCAGCTCTCAATAACTGCTGGCTTTTAGATTTTCAAAGGAAGAGTGGCCATTGCTTCTTTATCCCAGCAGCAGTACGTAAAGCTGCACAAACACTCGCTCCACTCCATCCTGTGATGATTACAAACTGCAGAATGGGATCACGTCCAGTAGCAACATCTTTCTCCCTGCCCCTTTTCCTCTGTGGCTTAAAATCCAGCTCAAGGGGACTTGAAAGCTCGCTCACAACATTTCAGTCAGTCCTAATAATAGATATTACGCTACTGATGCTTTTGGGTTGTTGTTTGTTTTCTTCCCTAATGGATCAATATAGCTACCTGCAATGTTTGTCTAAAATAACATGGAAATCTGATGTAAAAGCAGCAGTCAAAACTTGTGTGAAACTTTTAGAAAGAAACCATCATCCAAAAAATAAACTGAAGTAAAATAATATTTAGGCAATGCTAAGTTAGTCAGACACAAATGCCCAGGCCTGGCTCCTGATGGCTTCTCTCTGGCCTGAGATTGGTGAATCTGTCAATTTTAGTTTCTCTCGGTTTCTTTCTTTCTTTCTTTTTACAGTCTTCAGTTTCCCCATATTCCCACATCAGTTTGTGACTTAAAAAAAATATTCTCATGAAAATTCATCAACATTTTTGTGTGAAGTTGTCCTAATCCGTACCTTGGAAGTCGAACAGCTTGGCTCCTGAACGTTTTGGCTCCTGAACATTGCAAACCTGGAAGTGAACTATCCAAGGTATGACTGTATTCAAGGAGCTGAACATCCAAGGTATGACTGTATTCATATTTTTACAAAGCAAATTCCCCAAATACAACCCATTTTTAACACATTATATTCACTAATATATGCATTTTCATGCACACTTTACACCAGTATATGTATTTTTGTACATATTACTTGGTTGGAGAACCGCAGTGCAACATCTGCAGAAGTGCACATTTTGAAGGGGGACTCTCAATTCATGTATTGCATCAGAAAGTGCTGTAAAAGCAGTTTTGTTAAAAAAGTCCTCTATTTTAGATTGTTTGGAAACCGGTGAGAGAGCTACATCCTCTGGGTCCCTGTGGCGTTTACTAGCAGGCATAGCGTCACCGCAGGGAGTGAACAAGGAGAGGTTTCCCCAACCAAAAAAGAGAGAAAAGAATAGAAAGTGTTCCGTTTGTTCTCTGTGTGGAGACTGCCAGGGGTTTCAGGGACAAAGTATAGAAGGGAGTTGGCGGTTAATAGCTAGCAGCTGGCGGCCTGCCCAGGATGCTTCACAGAACTTGCCCAGGATGTTTCTCATAGCATAGACTCTCCGTAAGTTAAAAAGTAGAGAAGTAAAAAAGGAAAAATTACTTCCCTGGGTGGCAGTCAATGCTAATTACAGACCTGCTATCAGCGGAGCTCCGAAGCCTGCTTGCTAAGCCATCGCCATCTTGGCCCCTCCATCAGAAAGTGCAATCTGCATAAGCTCACCTTTAAATGTGTACTGAATAGAATTTCTGCTCTACCCCTAGGCCTGATCTGGCCATGTTGCCATTCACTAAACACCCCATTAGGCCTCTAAATGGCTATTTTGCTGCAGGCATCTTCATCTACCCCAAACAGAAGGTATCATAGGTCTATAGGCTTGGGCATTGCATTTGGGATAAATAATGTAGTATTTGGCAGAAACTGAACTGCAGCAGAATAGAAACAATGCTAATTGTGACAAGTGGCAATTCCTGCCTTCTTACACTGCCTATTGTAACTGGGCTCTGTTTGTATGAATGGTAACATACAGGGCAGGTCCATGACCACGTTTGTCACATGTACGTAAAGATACACTGTCAAGGCCTTCAGCTGAATGCATGGAATCCATGGAAGGATTTCTCTCCAACACATTCAGGTTTTCCAGACCAGAATTAGTAACACTCATTTCAGTCTGGAATCAAGAGCTGTTCAGGGATTCCAGACGAGGGCATGCAATGGTTTGTTCAGCTGAGTTTCCTCTTCCCTGCTTCTCTCAGCTAACATGTTGTTTGTTCAATGGACTGTAAACAAACTTCTGTAATATGGATTTATTTCACATCAACACTTGCAAGTTGTCAGCTTGAAGGTGGGTGTGAATTTGCCCTGGAAACAACACCACAGAAAACAGGACATACCATATTTTTCCGTGTATAAGACAAGGGTTTTTTACTCTAAAATAATGTTCAAAATTTGGGCTCATCTTGCTCATATTGCAGAGGGGGGAATGGACGATTGGTTGTAGCCACGAGGAGGTTGTCAGTGGTGATTGGATGGGTAGTTAGTGGCTGTGGCAAGGGCTGCTGTGGATTGGCTTCCAACTGCTGCAATTGGTGTGTTTGCTTGCTGGCTGCTGGTGTCGATTGGGCAGACGCTTTGTGGCGATTGTGACACATGTGATTGGCAGCGTTTCTCAGTCTGGTGAGTGATTTTCGGCAAAAAAAGCTCAACAACCCTGGGCAATCCCCTCCATTTTCTTAAATTGGAGTCTCCAAAAACAGGGGGTTTCTTATACATGGGGGTGTCTTATACACAGAAAAATATGGCAATTCCCCAAGTGATATTCAGCAATTGGCATGATGGGTCATTTTGCTGGGAAAGATATAGTTTGGAACTCTGAAATGAATGAATGAATGAATGAATGAATGAATCAAAGCATGTTTAACTCCGCTCTACAACCAAAAAGGCTTCTAGAGCAGCTTAAAGATCAATAACAAGCATCTCCAGAGAAACCTCAGAGAGCTGTTGCCAGTCAGGGGGGAACATTTTTAAGCTCCAGGGCTACATTCAACTTATTTTATTTTTAAGTGCTTTTCAGATGCAATTTAATTCAGTTTGATTCTCAATTATTTCTAGGGCTGACACCCAATTATAGAAATCTGAGTTAATGTATGGGTTTTAGTTGATTAATCAAATTAATTCATCAAAATGTCTGCATGTTTGCAGGTGAATAAGATAATATTGCGAAAGCCAAAAAGCAGAATTTACTTATTTACTTTACTTATTTTGAGACGATGCACACACCTGTAACGCCAACTTAGAAAACGCTTTCCCTCATGTGTAAGGGATAAGGGTGTGTGTGTGGAGCTTGCCAAACTACATGTTTTGGACCCATGAGCACACCTGCAAACCAAATAAAATTCTTTGGGCATTACCCACCCACCACAGCCTATTCTACTGGCTGTAACATAATGCGTCTCTTGAGGTGAACTTCAGCAGGGAAGTGGGGAAGTAACATTGCAGGTACTAAGGAAGGCCTCTGTGGGCGCATGTGTTCTGAGATGCTTCTCTAATGTTACCTCCTTGTCACCATCTAGAGGGACAGTTTTGCACTATAGCACCAGAAAAGTGGAACAACCCCCACCTCACCCCTGGGAAATTGTGGTATGAAAAGTTACTGGAGTTCAGCAGAAAGTTATGGGACCTGCACTGATCAGAAACAAAGCAGCCTGACTGCCCCCTAAACCTTTGGAGGCACCAACAGCATTGAAAGCAAGATTGCGGTTAATCACCCAGATGGCATCATGAGCACAAACTGTCATGAATGCATAACAAAAAGGAACATCTGGACAATCAACCAAAAAGTTTTTAATTAATTAAATAGCTTTCTCCACCCTGGTGTCCTACAGGTATTTCAGACTATAATTCCCCCCAGTCCCATCCTGTGCATGTCTGGCACTGATGAAAGTTGTGGTCGGAAACATATTGATTGTTCCAAGTTGGGGAGACTAGATTAAATATGGTGTCCCTATTATGTAAAAGGTTGAAAAATGTGAAAACCTCTTGTGTCACTCATACCTAAGGAGGAGGATTCACCTTGAGAGTGCATCTTCACTTTGCTTGTTTGTTGAATGTCTGTGCTTACATTGTCCAGACACATAAAATATAATTCACATCCTTGCACTGACAGATGCAAATAGCCTTTAAAAAATCCACACACACAACTCACTGCTGTAAAGCATGAGCTATGTAACATCTTCTAAAAGTAGCTGAGCATTTGCTTTCAGCTGTAGTTACTGTATTTATTAATTGCTATTACTGCAATTTGGGAGCTCAAGTGTCCAGGATTCCTTACAAAAACATATAAATTATTCCAATGAGAAAAGGTAAACTGTCAGTATATATCAAAAAGGAAGTCTGGTTCCATTTGTTTTTACAAGGAATTAATTGGCTTTAATTTCCTGACCTTTGCACAATAAACTGCATAATTTAAACCCTCTGTGCTTTTGCAAGTTCTGTTTCTGAGCTTCCGCAGAGCAGCTGCATTGCTTACAGTGAGAATGGACAGAACAGCCCCCTTGCCAGCCTGAAAAAGCACAGGCCCTTTTCATGTGTCTCATAAACGTGTCAGGAGAGGATAAACTGCCTGGGGCAACCATTTGTAACTGTCCCCATTTGGGAATCTGGCAGCAAATCTTATCTTATGTCTGTTAGGTAGGACATTTAAACTTTTGTGTGAGGAAATCAAGTGACCCTCAAGGGACACAATCGTACAGCAAAGTCCTCTGTGCAAGCTCCAGTAAAATTAGTCAGACCTGAACAGGCTTTAGGGATGCATGGTTCTGGCAAGTTCGGTTCGCGAAGATTCTCATTTCCCCAATATTAAATTCAATGCACCACACTTCTGCATCAGGCGGGGCCTGAAGGGCCAATAGGAACTGCTGCTGCGGCTACCACCCAGGAAGACTCCCCTGCTCAGCTCCTGAGGGCCCCAGTACTGCGGCTCAACATCTGGCCCAGGGCGGGGCCTGATGGGCTCTTTAAAGGACTGCTGCCGCTGCTGCCGCAGGGCAGAGAGGGCTCCATTTTGTTTTGTTTTTGTTTAAATTGCTGTTATTTTTTACCTAGGTCATTTTAAACTGTGATATTAATGCTGTATTCTTAGTTTTAGATTTTGATTTATGTGGAAATTGTTTCCCATTTGGTTGTGTATTTTTTTGATGTGGTTTATTTATTGTTTATGACTTTTGTAATTATGTAAATCTTGTTATGCTGTAAGCAGCCTTGAGCATTTTTTTTTAACTGTGGAAAGGCGGCATACAAATAAAAATGATGATGATGATGAATCAGCTTGCGAATTCATCAGCATTTTTGTGCCACTTTCTCCTAACAAGCATATTTTTAATGCACTTTTGACTAATGTACTTTTAAAAAAACCTAATGTCCCCTAATACAATGCATTTTACAAGTTACTTTCACGCATCTTTATGCACATTGCACCCAAAATGTAAATGTTTGTATATGTCGTTTGGTTGGACACAGTGCTATTTTCCCTATATTTAAGAAGTGTGAATTTCTCATTAAGATGCAAATGAGCTTGATTTTCTTCTCCACCCTCTTCATTCATATTGCATGGGACTTGTGCAAGAGGATTCTTCTTTGCAACATTCCTAACTTAAGGGAGAAATGCTAGCATACTGATGTTGGTGGCTGTGTGTATGTGTTTAGGATTCAGGGCAGGCTCCTCTCCGCTAGTGGAGGAGAGCACTGCTGATTGGTGGAGGCTCTGAGATGGAGTAGGACTCTAAAACAGGACATTTTGGAGGTTGAGTTGGGCCAGCCTAGGATTTGCCAGTTCTTTGCCAGGTGGGGTGAAGGGTCTGATCCAAGCACCTCTGTTGCACCAGCTGGGAGCTGGCTCAGCAATAACGTCTGCAGGAGCCAAAAGGGCTCCCGATTCATTGGAGACTCAACATTCAACATAGATGCCTGGGACAGTCATAACTTTGCAGGTAGGGCGAGCAGCACAGCCATACTTCATCTTCTACATATGGACCCTCTTTCCATGGGAAGAAAGCTACTGATTGTGTAGCAGGGGGAGGAATGGAAGCTATGAAGGTATAAATGAATTTAAGAATCAGAAATGTGTTCGTAAGCAAGCTGGCCATGCATGTGTGTCCCTTGCAGCTCTGGGCTGAGTGGAATGTAAGATCTGTTTAAACCGATAACCACAGGCATCTTTGACAAGATTACCGTACATAGCCTCTGCCACAGAAGACCCTGTTTTGCAACCTTGCTATTGTAAAGTGGGACATTCCTACTCTTGCCATGTGTATCTCTTTGTGCAATGTCACAATGTATGTTTAATGGAAACAGAAGTGTGTTTCAGCTGTTGGCGTCCAACTTGCTTCATCTGCATGGTGAGAGTATGTCAGAATACAATGCAATGCTTTAGTAAATAAACATTATGCTTGACTTACAGTTGGAGTCTGGCTCTTATTGACCACCCTGGCTTAACCCACAGGGTACTGAACCCCAATATTTCCCTAGCAAGTATGCCAGATTCTGAAGCAGCCATGGTGTCCAGTGAACCTGCAATACATGTATGCATGGATATATGTGCACTGCTGCAGATGTGCTTCCAGAATATAAGGTGTGAAGGCGCACTGGTACCTTACCTGAGACATAGAATCGAATGCTTCTTTCTTCTGTGCCAACCTTGTTGGAAGCCACACAGAAATAGACCCCAGAGACATTACTTGCTGTCGTTTCCAGGGTGCTTATGATCTGCCACGTGGGGAAATAGAAAAGACAGCCTGGTTACTTTTAGAGGTCATGGAATAAGCAAATCTGCAGAATCTTTCATGCAAAGGACCAAGACTCACCTTTGGGGGATGAACAGCAGAGGCATTGTCAAGGGAGGACAGGGATAAAGTTTAGCCCAAGCAAGGCAAATTTCATCTTCCAGTGATACCGTTACAGATCCTCAGATGTTTTCAGCTACAGGTCAGGTGCAGGTTAATCTACTTTACTTAAATATTGATACTCAGGAAACTGGTGGTGCAGACAGGGCCTAGCTTAGGGTAACAGCAAGGATGAAAAATTCCAAGAGTTTTCTACTTGAAAGGGGATTCTAGCTGAGGTCATTCCCATCTTGCTTGCTTCTTACACACATCTACCAGTCTGTCACACATTGATTTCACACTTTCATCAATGCAGCTTAGAGCTAAAAGATCCACATTAGCTAGGGAAACTTTGCAGTTTTAGGCCAGCCTTCATCATCCTGATGTTCTCCAGAGCATCATAATCATATTCCAAAACATCTGGAAGGGCACCAGGTTGTGGAAGGCTATTATACACCCTTACCTAAAAGTAAGTCCCATCAAACACAATGGAGCTTACTACTGAGTAGACATTCCAGTGCCAAAGAAGGAGCTGGGATCCAGGATATATTTCCCTCTTCTGTGTCATTTTAAATTTGTTTTAAAATTTATATGATATGGTCTATCCTCCCGCTTGCCCTGATTCTCGGTTCTATCTCACAATCAAGTTATGTTAGGCTTGTGAAGATGAACTAAGGGGCAGGGGTTAAGAAAGGAGTTCAGACTATACCAGGCAGATGAAATAAGAGAGAATCTTCCTACTAATCTAAATCCAAGCTTACACCAGTGATGTGTCAGTCTTCTGGCCACAGTTCACCCCCCAAAACTGTTTGCACCTTCCAAGTAGTTTTGTAGAACATAAAAAAGTCCTCAAGGTGCTTTTGTTTCATTTTGTTAGTCTTTAACAAACACATTGGACATGCCCAAATAAAAGAAGCCTGCCAGTCTCCTCCTTTCCACAAGCAAAACAAGCCTTACTTTGGGGGAGTGGGGGTGGTGGCAAAGGGTTCGCTTCCACACAGGAAAGGACCCACAAGGTCCCTCTTTACCTGGAAATTATACCTGGTGAGTCACTTCCTGCCAGGGACCACCCTTGTGGTTCCTCTGCTGAATAGGGATGGGATGGGGATTTTGCCTGAGGGTCTCAAGTCGTTTTGTTCTTGATACCAAGATCCCTTCTGCTGACAGGGTTTGAATGTGAGAATTCCCCTAAGCCTTATCTTTGTAGAATGCTTTGCAAAAAAAAGTATCTCTGGCTATTTTCTTTAACACCCTACACCAAATATGCACAGTAGGTTCCCTCTCCCTCTTTGTAAAACATTCACCTTGAATGAATTTGTATCAAAAACTAAGCTTCACTTTTCAGCTAGAGCTTCCAAACCAGGCTCAAGGGCAGCCCCAAATACAGTACATTGCAGTAATCTAGCCTCAAAGTTACCACACACGGTCTTCAACTGGTCCAGACATGACACCCAACTCTGACTCCCAAACTGCAATATGGGACCAACTGGGCAGTCACCCAAGGTGCAGACCTCGGAGGAGGTCTTTTATATTTTGAAGAATTTTATCGTTTCTGAAATAATTCATGAATTAGAATTGTTCTTTATGTATATGTGAAATAGATAAAGACCATAGAGTTGATCGGAGGTTATGTTACATATTTCTAGTAAGCTATGGCTGATAAAAACTGGCCACCTGTAGCTCAGTACCACAAACAAAAGGCAGAAAAAGCTAAGGAGCAGGCAAAGCAAGAAGAGTTCTTCCTGAAATACCTTTGCCCACAGAAAGCAATTGAAGAACAAGAATACGACTGTACTCTTCTTGAAGCTAGCACAGAGGGAGCTGAATGTGGTGCTTCTACTACAAATTAGATACGTTTCTTGAAAACACACATAGGAAAAAGAGGATGTCAAGAAAGCGAGAGTAATGCAAAGTCTGCAAAAGAAGAAGGTATTGTGCCTGACTTGAATTACAGTCACCTTGTTAACTGGCCCAACTATTGCAGTGATAATTTGTGACATCTTATAACAGAACATGGACCACAGCAGGTTGTATCACACAATTTCTCCAAAGACTAAAAAAAAAGAATTTCTCCTATACACTACAGGCGGAGACTAGCAAATAGTGAAGAAGTATGCTGTCAATGGTTGACACGTTCAACCTCAAAATATGTGGGTTTTCTTTTTGCTGTAAGTTGTAAGTGAAAAATTCGGTAATCACCCCTACAAGGAACAGATTCAAAGGACTGGGGACTTATCCACACATACCTTTTGCCCCAATCTTTTGAGGCACAGGTCTGCCCTTCAAAGCTCTATGTCTGAGCATTTTACTTTTTGCCCCAGAAATTTCCTTGTGGGCTGCAGGGGTGATGATGGTTTTCAACAAGTTTGGATATATGCTACTGAGAATGAGGCCCAGGAAGAGGCACCACAAGATCTAAAGCAGAAATTCAAAGCAGGTTTCTACTATGCTGCCTCTGATATGGCTAAACAATCTATTGAAGAGATTCCAACAGCTACAAAACCATAATTGCCTATTTGGCTTCACGTATGATATATACAGTATCAACAAAACATCTGCTGAAGATGTACCTAAGGCCTGCAAGAATTTGGAAAAACTACTGATGCGGATTTTCTGTGCTGTGAACTTATAACAATAGTTCAAATGCCAAAAGGTGTGCTTCCTTTCATATTACAACAAAAACTCCTGGATAATGTGCTCAATGTTTCTGTTGCACAAAGGATCTTTCTCACACTTCCAATATCAGTGGCATGTGGTTGCTCAAAGCTTTAAGAAAATGCACATGCTCAACAATGTTGCAAAGGAGACTAGTCGGTTTGGAAACTACATCAATTGAACATACCCAAGCCTCAGCACTTGACCTGAAGGAATTGGTGACAAAATTTGCGAAGGAAATGGCACACAAAATGAGATTTTTATGTGCCTGAAATTGAAAACCTTTAAGAGACTTGAATTTCAACATCACAATTCACAAGGTTATTCAAAATGATTTGTGTGCTAAAACATTTTCTTCTGTATTTGAAAAAGTTAATCAAAGACTGTTGTGTTACTTATTCTTGCAATTTTAAAGCAAATTTAGCAGTTTCAATTTTGTGCTTCTAATTTTTTCTACAAGACATCTGTTTTTGAAAATTGAAGTTAGCAATTTTGGGGAGTGGTGTGTTCAAGTAGTTAGCCTTGCCTAGGGTACAAAATAGCCTGCCTCTGGGGCTACGGTTGGCCAGAAATATCTTTTGCATTGAAAAAGGCTTTTGCTTTTCTTTTGCCGTTTTGCAGCACCCATGGAAAGGAGACACTACTCAGACAATGCAAATAGTGCTCCTCTGTTTGGTCAGCCATCAGGGCAGGAACTACTTTGCCATGACCCACCTAGAATGGCATCACAACCGACCTATGAGTCCTGATCCACTGGCTGAAGACCTATGGACTACAGTGGTCAGGCTAACTATAATAGCTTGCAATGGCCAACAAGGCTAACTATTATAGCTTGCAATGGCCAACAAGGTGCCTTCCTGATGTTGTTGAACTACAACTTCCAACATTCCTGACAAACTGGGACTGCTGGAAGTTGTAGCCTAAAAATATCTGGAAGGAACCTTGTTGGTTATCCCTGCACTTAATAGTTTGGGTACCAAGTTACTTGAAGGACCACCTTTACCCATATTAGCCTGTCTGGGTTAACCAGGGTCCCCAGACACATGCAAACAGATGTTTAGAGCTACATAGGCATTGAAACAGATGTATCTTACATGCCCTCCATGCTTGTGTGGGAAATAAAGGTGTAACACAGGCAGACATTCACCAAACCCATTTGCTGCATAACTGCCTTTACTTGCAAACAACTCTTGAGCCCAGAAATTTGCAGGATTTCAGTGGGGAAATGAAAGATTGAGAGTGATTATCTTTTAATAAGAAGAATCCCTTGAAATGATTATGTGCCAGCCTTTCACTCAAGCTTTCTTCTTCTGCGTAAATCCCTGAGATCAAGAGTTCAGTTATCTTGGCAAGGATCTAATGCAAAAGTTTTAGTTGTCTGCATGCTCAGGTCCTCTTTCAGTTGCCAATACAATAATGCCACACGTCTCCAGAATATCACATTGTGCACATGGTGCTATATGTCTGCATGAGCAAACCTATCTGTGGATTTCCCTTTCCAGCATATTAAATAGTAAATCAGAAAACTGAATTCATATGGAAATGGTCAGGACGTCAGAACTGGTAGCTTCTTTAGAAGCCAGGCACTTCCTGCTTACAATCAAAAGATACAGAATGTCCTTAATGTTCTAAGGTTATCTGGAATATCGCTCTTGATTTTAGTTTAGAAAAGGGATAGACATTGGGGTATTTGAGAGCGGAGTCTAGCTCACAGCGGCTTTTTACAGCTGATCTGCCCCCTAAGATCATCCTGGTTCTCAAGGAACTCCTTTTACATTTTGTTCTGTTACCTTTTCACGGTGCAAATGGCTTAGGGTCAGACTAGATGTGACTTTTGTCTTTGCTGACTTGACAGTGGTTTTCCAGCATTTCAGACAGCAGTCCTTCGCAGCCCTAACTGGAGATGTCAGAGATTGAACCTGGATCTTTTTGCATGCAGATATCCTTTAGCTACTTAGCTGCAGCTCTTTCCCTAAAATAAATTAATATTTCAGCCTTCCTTGCTCTGAATAAAGGTTCAATTCAAAAAAGAACTTAGGAAGTCACTGACCAAGTCAATTCATTGATCCACCTAACTCAGGACTTTATACATTGATCAGCTGTGGAGCTCCAGAGTTTTCAGACAAATATCTTCCCCAGCCTTACCTGAAAACACCAAAGACTGAGCCTGGATACTTCTGCATGCAAAACATCTCCTTTGCTAGTGTGTTATAGCCATTTCTCAGTGAG